AGAAAGAGACCACACGGAAAAAGGTGGGCAGGAATTCTGACAAATCACTGAAGCTGGGAGAACGGGAGGCTGGCAAGAGACGACGCAGCAAACCAATCACAGTCCAAGTCCAAACCTATTTAATCTTCGGCGGAGAAATGGATCAGGCTCAGTGGACAAACCAGAGAGCTGCAGCTGCTCCATTTGCTCCGACAGAGCCACTGCGGGGGGAAAATGTCACTGATGTGGAGACGACGCCGATGAGCGGAAGTGCTCCGGCATTAATCAGTGCAGAATTTGATGTCGTGTGCTGTCATCGCCCCGCACAGCCGCACAGCTCCTCCGTCTTCTGCGTCTGTCACTTTTGTGAGAGAGAACGAAGTTTTCATTCAGTTTGAGGCAGATTCTTCCCACCAAACACGGATGACGTCTGGTGAAAATGGCCTCGTCTTATTATCCTTTTCTTCACACCTACATGTTTGAGGCGAACGGACAAGGATGGAACAGCTAGTTATTAGGTCCATTTGTAGCTTATTTGTTTCATGCATGTGGATTTTAATTGTTTTTTTGAAATCGAAATGAATTTTGTGTTTACTCGGGGGATTTTTGGTCCCATTTTAGATGGGAAACCTGTGAAGAGGAAGTACCTGTTCGTGGCACTGTAAACACTGAGACAGACTTCTTTTACTTCACATGAGGTGGAAGGGAAGCTGACGCAAGGCATGGTTAATGTACCTTCACTAATTAGCCTTCCCAAGAGCCTCAGTTCAGAGAACAAGAAAACAAGCCCGACCGTTTATTTCTGCCTCTGTCGCCACCTTGTTCATCGTCATAATTATCTCACTCGCTGCCCTTGAAACATGCAGGACCATCAGAAATTAACCTGCCAATCTGACACAACCGAGACGCGGCGTCAAAGCAGAGACGCATTACCCGCCGCCTCGCAGCAAACGCCACAAACGTTGCAATTTAGGCTGAAATTGTTTTTTTTGCACCGACTCCTTGTCATCTAGGCCTATTTGAAATTTCGGGAGAAAAAAGTAAGTAAATAAATATGTCGAGGTCAGAAATATATAATATTACCTTCTGTTCCCACTCCGAGCGATTTGTCATAAGTTGGAGGTTTTATTTCTCACCAGATCCTCCCGATATTCCCACCAGAACCAGGACACAGTCATGAAAGGAAACCCATTCTGTAACTCCGAGCAGGAAGAAAAGTCAAAGTGCGCTTTTCCCCCACACCCCTTTCGTTGCTGTGTTTTCCCGTGACGACACACAGAGGGTCTGATAAAGTACCATCATCCATGAATAATAAGTCCAACTGTGGCTCGACTCCACAGTCATTGAAAAGTGGAGCGGCTAAATGCACGAAGAGGCCGGGGTTTGGAATGTGGCCAGTCATCACCTGAGACACTCATTCCTGCAGACCTGGTCACTGCTCACAAGTCACCAACAATATGTTGTTTTCCCGGAGCCGTATTTTTTATATCTGCATGTCATTTTCGTGCAGAAACAAAGCATTATATGGCTGTGCAGAGCATTAAAGTGTGGCTTTCAAAGGTCGACACCACTCTGCCAAGATTGTCGTGATGCAAAAGAAAAAAAAATGGAACTTTGATCAATCATTTCATGCTTATTGTGGCATTTTTCCACTGGAAACACATAAAAAAAAACTGCAATATCCTGGGTTTCATAAAGGCGTACACACTTAAACTAATCATTTTTCTTGCAGCACCTCCAGACTTCTTTCCTACTTTCAGTCTTCTTAAGCTCACACCTGCCATCAGTTATAGTGAACCGGATAAACTTGAAGTGTGCTAAAGCAGTCCTGGTGTGATTCCCTTTACGTTTGCTCATTTGCGTCCCTTTTGTCTGAAGCCTTGGTTTCCAGAAAGGTTGCAAACGCTGAAAATGATTCCATGGCACAAAGGTATCGGTCAGAAGGAAGGCACGGGCAAATTCCCCACCGTTATACATACAGCGTGGTGCAGTGAAGCTAAAGATGAGACAAAGATGTTTGACAGCCGGCGGAAAAGTCCAGGTTTTCCCAACAGGAAGGATGAGAAACGACCTGAAAAGTGGCAACCCTTCATGAACTCACCAACATCCATTTGCCATTTTTTCCTCCTTGTGGCCCAGTGAAGTTTGTTGAATCTCAACGCTGCACATTTTTACACCCAAGTGTCACAGAAAATGTCTCAAATCGCACAGCAAAATCTGATTGGAACACTGCAACATTTCCCCCAAGTCGGTGACGGTCAGGCTTGAGACATCTGCTCGTCCGATTTAGACTAAACAGAAAGATCATCTTCACTATTACACAACAGCTGCACCTCTGGGTGGGAGAGGGGCTGGGGGTTTCCTTCCCCTCACTGGAAGATGTTCAGACAAGATCAGGTCTTTATGTTAACATGAGGAGTCACAAGTCAGGTACTGCTGAGGCTCCCAGCGTCCACAGAAAGGTCCAAAGCTGTCAGGATCTATTTGTGCGCAAGACGCAGCTCCATTAATAACCCATTGCAATGAGTAATAAAGAAAAAAATAAGACTGGTGAGAATGGAAAAAAAAATAAAAAATGTCACAACAGAACATAGGCTACATATCAAGTAGGTCACAAAAACAATGCTGGAGAGGCTGAACGGGGGAGGAGAGGATTAATAAGGACAGAGAAACATTGTCATCCATTCTCCACTGCACCATGTTTATGAGTGGTTGAGGTTTCAGGCTTTGTGAAAAGGGCACTCTCGTCATTTCCAAGACGCTTCGCCAATAACTTCTCCGTATCTGTGTTTTGATCTGAAAAATGACCAAGAGCATGAAACATTTCCTCCCAGTTCCCTCTCTTCCTTCACATAAACAAAGGCCGGGGGGGTGAAACAGCGACTGAGATTTAAACAGCGGCTCTAAATTTCACCGGGTCCAGGGAACGAGCAGGAAGAGGCTTTTAATTTACAACCGAGCCAAGAGCTTCTCCCACACCTATTTGTTGCCGTGCCGGTTTACGTTCCTCCAGCAGCGCCGCTTTTCACCGCCACGAAGAGATGCATTTGTGCAAAAGAGCCGAGATGAGTGATTTAATAGGAGGCTTGAAGAAGCAACAGAGAGTGAGAGGATTTCTGGTTTGGAAACAGTGATGATGTGACACGTGCCTCTCGAGTGTGAGAAGACATTCATAATTAAAAAGAAAAATAATTTTCTTCAAAAGTCTTCCAGGCTTTAAAAAAAAAAAAAAAAAAAAAAAAAAAACATCTGCAAACATGTTGAGACTAATCCAAAACAAATACGGTTTATCTGGGATTATTGAATAAAGAAAGGACCAGAGGCAAAGGGATTACAAAGCGGGTCTTTAGTGGAAAAAGGAAAAGTCTGATGGGTTGAATGAACGAACGCAACTTCAGGGTCGAAACCCAGAGTTGGTTTCAGAGAGACGGGTCGACCCGGACCGTCGATCTGACTGCCGGTCGGCCGGCTCCCTCCCGGCTCCTGTGACTCTCCTCGGATGAGAGTTTAGATGAGCTTTCCTCCAAACCTCCAGCAAATAATTACCTGTGGATTAACACAATCCGTCTGTAAAATAATAGAAACATAATCCATCCTCTGGATTACTTACAATCACAAACCAGAGGCTGGAAATACTTTGAATGTTTCCAAAGGGAAGCATAAATGATGTGGTCAAATGTATTGATATCTATAGACTCTAAAACACTATCTCACTTATAGCTACACTGAATATTCATTTAAAAAATAAATAAAAAGAAAATGACCCTGTATGCCACAACTGCATTAAATACTGACATGCTTCCACACACCGACTTCTCCAGCTAACTCCTAAATTATTTATAGCTCTGGCAGGTATAGGTTTAGTCTTTAAAAGTCAGATAAAAGTCAATTCAGTTGAGTTTATTTATATGTTGCCACCTCACAACAGAGGTCGTCTCAAGTCACTTGACGAAAAAGATCATTTCAGTTCAGTCACACATGCAGTCCAGTCGATCCGGGTTATTGAACAGGGCAGAATGCTCAATGTCTTAGTCAAAGCAATTTAAAGTTTCTATCTAAAGAAATCCCAGCCGTTTGCAGCGAGTCACCGACTTGCAGCGTTCACTCCTTCTAAATGAGCACCTAGCGGCAATTACTCTCGTTTCGTTGACTTTCCGGCAACCCCTCATGCCGAGCACGCCTGTAGCGACAGTGGAGAGGAAAAACTTCCCTTTAACAGGAAGAAACGTCCAGCAGAACCAGAACCACTCAGTACAAGTGGACATCTGCAATGACCCACTGGTCAGTGTTTTATTCTGAAAAAAAAAAATGTTGATTATTGCTCTGCAGTGCTTCACAGCTCCAGTGGAAGAATCTGTTGACAAGGACTCGTAGTCACAGTCATGTTGCCAAAAGCAGAAGAGACACTAAACATGTGGAAGGTGTTTTTTGTAAAATAAGACAAAAGTTTGCCATTTTTTAAATTACAACTCGTGGTTTTATCACAAGATTGGTAAGTTTTCCTTTTCGTTGTGCAGACCTGGAGAGCTGCACACCAAAACACCCGGGACTTTAAATTGCATCAAAAGGTAGTTTTGCTTCACTTTTCCAATTCACAAACATTTTAAGGCCTTTATTGTAGCGCTCTCTCACACGAAGCCTAAGTGAAACTGCAATTTGTGGCAAAAGCAGAAAAAACTTTGAAGGGATGTTGAACACTTTTGCGAGGCAGCAGTGACAAGAATCAGCCAGGACGCAACTTAGCGCCAGGGATGCGTCAAGCTGAAAGGAGCTGCACGTACATAATATATCAGTTTAAAATTCTGAACGGGATCAAAGTCCAGTTCTAGCGCCAGTGTTTCTATTCGTTCCTCTGTGTTGCGGCAGGTCGTTGAAAAAACAAGAAAGGGCTTGTTGCAAATTTTCCAGAAAAACGGCAAGAAATGAAATGTTTTTTATGTCTTTTGCAAGAAACATTGGGAAACTGTTCCTTAAGAAAATCCATTGATGTTATAATGGCAGCAGTTTGAAGGACAACAAGGTAAACACGCCAGGTTTTTTTATTCAAAAGACAAAAAAAAAACATATACAGTGAGCCCTACAAGCATTTTTAATTAGCACCATAAAGTTTTGCCTGCAGACGAGGGCAGATATTAGGAAGCCATTAGAAAAGCACACAAAAACAACGGGGTGCCGACAGATCCTCGGTGCTCACTCCCCTGAAGCGGTGGAACTGCACCTGAATGCCTCATTATATCACATAATGGAATCCTAAATGAATTTTGCATGTGTGAGCACACAGAGTTCATGATATGCTGAAGAGCGAACCTCTCCCTGAACTCATTTTTTCTTCTACTTCTTTTGCAGGCATGTTCACCATGAGAGTGACGGGGGCTCTGCCCTGCTGGCCCAGTTATTAGCTCTTCCACAGCACGCTCCCAAAGCTGCTCCGCTAATGGAGGCCGACCGAGTGAGCCAGCTCCTCCGACGCACACACAGGAAACCAGTGCTCTAAAACGTGACCACCGCGGCGGGCGCGACATTCCTTTGTAACGTCTCTCGTTTACGTGTACAACATCTGTCAGATTACAAACACAGTCCAAAAAGGGACTACGACAAATAATAACCAGCTGCTGAAGGCTGACAAAGTGGTATTTAAAACTCTACAATATACAATATAGGTGAGCTGTGGTGAGTTCGGTGTTTCCGTCGTGTTTATGGTTTCCTGTTAACAGACTGGAAATGCAAATGCAAGGAACTGTCCCGATAAATTATTGCTCAGGTGTTGGTTTGTGTTCCAGGAAGAGGCACACACACAACAGGTAACAGTACTGACTTCAGGAAGTATAAATAAGACCACTGGTTACGATTCAATGCCACATGCACAGCATAGTTACACTTAGCAATGTTCAAATACGCCTTGGATCCCCATGTCGAAAAGCACAGCGAATACAGTTTTTACTCGAAACCTTCACAGAACTCCACATCACATCAGCATTTTCATCGTATAAAAATAAGTTAGAAATCTGGATAAATATTTTACACAAAACTGTAATAAAATAAGTTGAGGCTATACGCCAGACTTAAACAAAAAGAGGTTCCCCCCCAACCCCACATTATTGGGGTTGTAGGCTTGCTTAAAAATAATAATAAGAAGAAGAAGAAGAAGAAACAGCTTAAGTGACGTTTGTGATGACTAAAGTCATTTCAGGTACACAAAACTAAGTAGCCGGCCTCCGTTTGTTTTCTAATCCAAGCCTCAGCAGAGACTGGAGAAGAGCGCTCCCATCCTGCATGGATCGACGTCCAGTTGGTGACGATTTGCCCTCCAGTCTGGACTCTGCAGAGGAGGTCCTAGAGGCTGAGGACCAAAACACAATGCCGTGGGATTAGCTCCTCTCTGCTCTTTGTCACAAGAAAATAACACTCACTTTATTTACAAAAAAAAAAACCAGCTCAGTGCCGGAGCTAACGCCGCTCCGACCTTATGGGTTATTATTAGGTAATAATAAATTACATGATCTGATGTCTAGGTTGGGTAAAAGATACCAGAAAGCCACAGCTTTATGACTATTCCTCAGTCAAAGCAGACAGTACTGCAGATAAAAATGGTGGATTTTTAATCCATCAAAAAGAAGAATCAGAACATTAGATAAATATTAATCCAAGTTATGAATTAAATAACTTGGAAGGTTGAATGTGTTGAACACCGGATTACATTCACGCTACTTTAACAACATTACCGTTTCACACATCTCTTTGATTTGGCTTCTGTATAACGTTGCCACCAGACCATTTCTGCAATAAACTTAGGAAAAACTTCCTTTAATGAGGATACAGTAGTAGAAGTTGAACAGGATGTGTTTGCAAATGTTCACCACATTTGAAAAATCTTAGCATTACGGTGAAGGACTGCTCACAAGGAGGAATAAACACCATGAATGAAATCAGTAACGTCAACTCCTTTTAGTGATGTTTAAAGATGTAAGATTGTGTTGTAGTAACGGTAAATAAATAAATGATTTAAGAGTTTAACACAAAAGCAAATCACAGCTTTTTTTCTTCCCCTCACAAAGCTTCAAAATATTGTAGTTTATTTTGAAAATATCCATATAAATAACTTACTTTGAAATAAGTAAAATATCTTAACATGGTGCTAATTATATTTCCAGGAGTGGAAAAATAAGTAAAATCCAAGTGCGTTTTAATTTGACCTGGAAATATAAAAAAAAAAATAGAGAGAGAGAAATGCTGCTTTTTTTCTACATTTGTTTTCCAGGATGAATTTATTGTACTAGATTTTCAGTCTCACTTTAGCCTTTTTTAAATAAATTCTTTTTTTTGTTTGTTTTTATTGAGAATAACATTTTAAATGCCTCTCGAAAATATTTTTACTGGTCATTTACAGTAATTAAATTTTACGGAAAATTTCTGAGCCATGCATTTGTAGTCATATTAACCTTTATTACTCTATACGTGCAGAGAATGCATGTGAAAGCATGACTTACACCTTCTCTATAACATCCTCTAAATCCCAAAAACTAACACCAGAAAGCGCCGCCGCCTGTTTTGGTTCCTCGCATTAACTAATTTGCAGAAGCGGTCCGACTCACCTGCGCTTCAGTCGTTTCTGAGGGAGAGCTCTGAAAACAGAAAGAAGAAGACAACTGCTTAAAAACTATCTGTACTCCAGTTGATTTCACTCTAACACAACGTCTCCATCCAAACAGTTAAAAGTCTCAAACTGCGTCTGGCAGCTGATCTCTTTCCATCCGTCCCATCTGCATGTCCAGGGTTGCGCTTACAGCCGCAAGTACGGACCAAACGCATTTGTTTTGAAATTGAATGCACTGGTACAACCTTGACATAAATTGTCTGGTTGCTGACGGTTATATTCAGCTATGAAACCAGAGTCCGGCAGCAGCCCCTGCAGTTACTGAGCCTTCAAGTCCAATTAGAATCAGTCGGCCCGGGTGCGGATTAGCGGGCTACCGAGCCGTATATCTCTGGTGAGATGACCAGCCTGTTATTCTTCGCATGTTGTTCCTCTTTTAGGGTTCGATTTGAACCTTTTATGGCTTTTGGTGCCATGAAGTAAAACTTGTTTTATCATCTCGGTGAAGAAGTCTGCAGGGCTTACGTAACCGCTCCAAACCCAACATCTGGCCTGATGTGCAGTGGGAGATTTTGAAGAATGACAAATGGAGGCTGGAGAAGAAATACTACTACTGCACTCTTGCATTTTGATTTCGTTTTTTTCATGATACGACGCCGATTAAAACTGTTAATCATCTCTCTGCCGGCTGCCCAAGCGGAGTCATCTGATCCTCGGTTTGTAATGTTCTTTTTCGTGGTTTCAGATGTAAATGAGTGAAATGAAAAGCAGCACTTTGATGTGAACACGGCCTGCTCCTGAACTCGAGGGCCAGCCTTCACCACAGGAGAAAAGCTGCTAAATAGAGAAAATATAATATTCCTGCCTGCTCCTCTCTCAAGCTGTTTAAAATCGAGACTTGGCGCCACCTGCTGGCGGAGTGCGAGTGTGCTCGCAGAAATCCAGCATCTGACAGCAATTCTCACAGATCAACTCGCAAAACAGAGTTGAGAGCTGATTCAGCAGTTTAAACGCTCCGCTAAGAGAAAATGAGATGTCTTGATAATTATACAATAAAACAAAAAAACGAGTGCATAAAGGCGATGCTGGAGAAGACGCGCATCCTCACCGGTAGATGTTGGGATCCAACAACATGGCCGTGTCCTGCGGTAACTGGGATAAGTGGACTACTTTTGTCTTCAGCTGAGATCGCTCCGTTTCATTCACCCACACGTCAGGCAAACTGTGCACAAAAAGAGAAAAGATGACACGATTTATTAAGAAAAAGACAAAGTGTGGACACAAAGAGCAGGATGACTGTGATAAGAAGGAATTATGGCAACTAATTTTCTGTAGACGGTCTTAAAGTAACATGTTCACCATCTTTGTCGTAGGTATACCTCTGAAAGCTACAATTTTTAAACCAAGTAAACCAGATTTTTTTTTTCTTCCAAAAAATCCAAACAGACTAAGGTCATATTAAAACAACAGGTATTCATTCATGCACACCTTAGTCCTCCTCTGCAGAGGACTCTAGCTACAACATTCATGACCTCCTTTGTGAAAACTGGAAGTGTGCGAGCACTGCCTTGGCGAACCGAGGTGCAGAAAAAGAAAGAAAAAAGAAACAAAGAGCTTAGCAAGTCCACTGCACTCCCCCCCCCTCTTTTTCCCTCCACACTCCCCGTCTCCACCTCCAGCGTTCCCCCGTCACGATGTGCGTCATCCCAGGAGCCCCCAGAGACGCACACACATGCACACACACTGCAGTAAGTTAAGCAGGCAGTCGCCCAGCCAGAATCAATCACATAGCTAGTCAGCCCTTTCAGTAGGACAGTTTGCAGACAGAGCTTCACATTCAACACAGCAGAAGGTAGAGGTGAGAGCAAAACTGAGACATGAAGGACAAAAAGTCCGGAGGGGCTGCAGAGAAGAAAAATGAAATGTGAAGAGGGGGGAAAAAAAATCTAAATTGGTCAAATAAAACTTGCCAATCATGAGGTTTTTGTTGGGGTTTTTTTTATATTTGCAAAATGTATGGAATCATTTCAGGCCCTGATGATTTCACCGCGTCGCCTTTCCATACGTCGGCGGTTTTTGTCGTCTCGTGCTCGAGGTCTTTGGGTAAATAATGGAGCCAATAGTTTCAAAGCAGCCATGCGTCAATTCATGCTTTATTATTTTGAATGTGCTAACATCTGCCAGCAGGAGCCTTGGTAACCTGACATATTTCATAGGAGTAGGCCAGCAAAATGATAATCAGAACCACAAAATGAATATAATACTGCAGCTTTTCAGATAAGGGACAATTATATATGAGATTAATCATGGGATTTCTGGTTTTTATTTTATGATTTAATTAAAATACTTAATCATAACCAACATAAATAAATGACTGAAGCACATGGTTTGAAATGGTTTTTCTGTTACAAAACAAAAGTAGGGAAGGGAGAAAATAGCACCATTAAAATGATGAAATGGGAATATGAGGAACAAACTGATCAGTGTTAACATGAAGTTTGTCTGACCAAGAAAAAATATTTTAACGTGAAATTGATGCAATCTCTTTTTTCTCCTTCAACAAATAAATTTGAAAAAAGAAAAACGCTTGTACTTTCATCGTAACTCGGCTGATAATTATTAGACATTAGAACTGAGTACTAAACTTTAACACTGTGAGAACCGTGTCGAGACAGAATGAAAATAAAAACATTAACCGTCTAAACCTCAAAAGTCGTGAAACAGCAAGCCCTTCAAAATGTATGCGCAGATCTTGAAACTAGAAAGAGCCTCAACGCAGAGTGTGGCAGATGCTGGTTAAAAAGAAAAGCACAAACTACATCCAGCTTATAAATCATAAGGGAGACGTGGCGTTTACATCCTAAAGGGATTAAGGAATATTCTGAAATAAATAGCTCTGGTAAAAACTTACATCTTCCCTTTAATGGAGGGGGGGAAAAAAAGGAGGAAGTTTGGTTTTTTTCACTCCATCCTCTGTTGTCTATGCTTCCTTTCAAGTAGAAGTTGAGACGAGAGAAGAAACAGTCGCTTTCAAAGCAGTTGCAAAGTTTACATTAGCTTTGAATTAGCCGTGTTGCCCAGAGCAGAACCCCGTGTGACAGAGGAGGATCTGAGGAGCAGCAGCGACCCAGTAAACATCTTTGTGGTTCTGTGACTGAACTCTCGCATGCGCTCCAGTTCCTCCGCAGAAGCCGAGCTGCGGTGCTGATGAGTTATTTTATTTTGATGAGCGAGTCACACAGAGGAGCTGAACTGGAGAACTGTTTAGGTGTCTGTGGTCACTGTGCAAAACGGGTCACACTTCTGCACGCTAATGTACACAACCGTATTTACAAAGACTTGAAAGTGACAAATAATCCTTTGGTCACACAACCACAATGAGAGCTGGTGAATTTGTCTCGCTTAGAGGAGGTGCCATTTGGCTCCCTTCTTTATAAACAACCCGCACACCCCCCCTAAATAAAAAAGAAAAAAAAAAAAAAAAAAAAAACTCCAGACCATGAGACTGTGTTTATAGGAACAATGTATTCATCCTTAAATTGCATTTGAAATTACTAAAATGTTAACTTACTTTGTGTAAGAATTGGCAGGAGTGACTGAAGATCTGAAGTGAGCTGCAGTAAATGTGAACATCTAGCTGAATAACGATCCCAGAAACGAATGTGCTTAGGCTAAAAAAATGCAACAACAACCAAAAAAAAAGGTGAATTATCAAATATTCCTGTGCAAAGAAGTGATGTCCAACTTCAACAGGTAACATATTGGAGAGCTGAAACTTGACAATCCCTATAAGATTCAGAAAGCAGCTCAGAGTGTGGCCAAAGTCAGGGGCTGCATTCTTCGAAGGCTGACTGAGCCACAGTGTTGAAACGAAGGCTGTTCAAATTCAAAGGCTCCCCCAAAAATGCTTTCTTCTTTCCCCTAAATTTGAAGGATGGATCCAGCGAATCATTGCAGACTGAACGGGAGATTTTTATTCTTGTAAGCATGGCAGACAAAGTAGGAGGTAGAGCAGGAGAGGATCACAGTTTCAAACAAAAGTATCAAAACCTTGCAGTGAAAAAGTCGAAATCTTAAAGCAGTTGTGTTGTTAGGCTTTTGTCTTTTGCATAAAAGTGTATGTTAGTGTAATGTAAGAAAAAAAAATTCCACAAGTAATTGTGACACACAACAATGTAAAAGATGGAACTGTTCTTTTTCCAAGAACAGCTCCAATTGAGGTTTGAGGCATTCATAGCCAGTGACCGTGTATTCCAGTGTTTGCTATCCAACAGCAATCAACACCATGCAGGAGAATCCGTTCACTCATCCATCACAGATTAGACAGCAATTACAGCTCCCAGTCTGTACCAGCCTTCCCACTCTTCTTCCTCAATGAACCGAGGGTGAATTGGGTTCAGGCTGGCTCATGTTAATCAGTAACTCGTTTATCTAAACTGAGTTAATGAGTGTCAGTCAGAATGTGAATGGTTCACTCCTGCATTAGTAGACATGACTTGGCACATTCATGCAGTCAATGACTGACTCAATGACTGAGAAGCGCACGCGCACACACACACGCACAATGAAGTGTAGGCATTAATACGGAGTTCAGCTCAATGCTGAAGGAGGACTAAACAAGGCGCACCTTTCTTATCAGGTGGAGTCTTGTGTACTTTCCCAAATCCTTCAACACAAACTCCTAGAGATACTGTAATGACTATATTATTTCATTTTTGGGGTTTTAGCTAACTCAAAGTAATTATTAGCTAACTTTTACTTTGGAGGGCTAAAAGTTGAGCCCTATGGTAATCAACAAAATGCTGATTGGTGGAAATGTCAAACCAGTGTCAGAATCAACTAATTTTAGCCACACAAACGCAGCAGCTGCTTAAAAAAAAAAATCTGAATATACTGACAGACAGCTTTATTTACAGCTTCTGTCATTCTCAAAGCCTACAACGACGACAATAACAACACGAATACGGCAAAGACGAGACGGCAGACAGTTCCACATGATCCTGATGAAGAATATAATCGGCTACTATTTGACGAATTTATGAAAAACTGCAGAGCAGATGCAGGAGAACGTTATAGACTAACAAAAAGAATAAAAGAATAACAAAACAGGATTTTACTTTCTAATTATTCCACTGTAAGTCAACATGTTTGCCACAGAGAATGATCCATGAATTTGGTAAATAAACTGCAATCCTTTATGGCTTGTGCACAACAAATCAATTATTTTTACAATACTGGAAATTCATAGTTTGACGGACAATTGTCATATTTTCCCAATAACTGGTAAAATCAGAAATAAACCAACATTATCAAAGTAATCTTGACATTAATAATTTAGATACTCAATTCTGGTAAAGCTAAACTAACTGAATTCTCTGATTAGTTTTATGTTTAGATATTCGATGTAACTTATTTTATTTTTATGTTATGTGAAAAGTAATTAAAGTAATGATCTTAGCATTCTTTCTGCAATGAGGCAAAGGGAGTCAAAAATCAAGGTCATTTGCTAGATTAAAGGTAATTTTTTAAAACAACCTTAGCTTGAGCAGATATTGTACATAGTTTTCATTGAAATATTGTTTTATTGGTCTGACGTAATATTCTAATCTTAAATGTCATGACTTATTACTGTTACCGTCAATCAACAATGGCCAGATTGAAACCATGGATATTTAATGCAAATATTAAACATTTTTGTATATTTATAAGATCTCTTCACTGTTTTTGTGCACAAACTTGGCAAATAAGATTGATTCTGATTCCTTAGGTTTGTAGGATGAAATCTTCAGCATTAACAGAAAAAAAAGGCTTGAAAACATCAGTGTATGTAATCTATATAATGTGTTTAATAAATCAAGATACAGAAATAAATGAACTTTTAAATAATATTCTAATTAAATGAATGTGTCGGTATATTACTCATTTCATTCAGCTCTGCCTCATTTTAATTTTCCTTCCCGTTTCTAAATGTTTTACCAACAGTCTACATCTTCATTGTTCTGTTTGCTGTTATTATTGTCTTCCTTACCCTCAATTTCTGATTGTTTCGCCAAAAGAATAAACTTTCCATAGTCACCTAAATCCTCACAAAATATCATAAAAATGATTGTTTTCTTTGCCCTTGGCCATCATTGTTCCTTTTGCTTTTATTTCTTAATTTCCAAAGCTGTTCTGTGCCTCCTTCACAATGTCGTCTTTCCACCTTCCCCTAATATCACCCCTTTCCTCTTAATGTCCTTTCATTTCAACAATGCCATCCTTCTTCTTCTGCCTCTGCTCCTCTGTCTCTGATCTCCTTCAGAGGCTTTGCTGTCAAACCCTTTAATGGAAATGTAAGAGGGCTGCGCATATGCTGGCATCTTCCCTTGGGCAAAAACTCTGCAGAGAATCATTGTTATGTCAAGCTCCTTCTTCACGAGAGCATGGTGCCAAAACTGCCTGTTCTTTTGCCTGATGATTCACTGATCTCAGCTTTTGTTCTCTCAATGCTCACCTCCAGGGAAGCTGCGCTAAAACGGGAATAAGAAGTGGGATTTGGATGATAACTGGGTGGTCACATCGAGCTGAGCAAAATATGGCCTGATGGATGAACTTCACTTTGCACTAGAAACTTATCCAAAACTTGTGTTGATGTTTGTGCATGGGTGCTAATTGACTCTTCAAAAGATTTTAGTTTTAATCATATGAAGCCAATTCTTCTCTTTAGCTGAAGTTATGTTATGGGAGTGGTTGCAATTTATTATGAACATTCACGCTGTGATTCAGATCGTGTCAATCAGCTGGTGAGACAAAGCCGTATGATCTCAGACTCTTGTGGCCATTCTCTTTAATTCATTCTACCCATTCTCAATCTGTACTAAGTCAGCAAAAGATTTCTTTATTTTGACAACAGAGTAAAAGAAAAAGGTTTTGCTCACATGTCTTCAGGTGTCCAGTGTAAAAGTACTTTCACCTTGCCAGTCCCCTCTTTCCTTTTGGCTAGCACCTGCAAAGAAAAAGTAAAAAATATATATGAACAAGGACAACACATTAACCAAAATTTAACAAAATCACATTTCATTTTCACATATACGGTGCTCGAGCCATGTGAGACACAGAAATGTTGTAGTTTTTGCTTCCTGTTTGGTCTTTGGGGAGCAAGTTTCAAAGACGCATCCCTTTCCTGACCCCGTCTGTGCAGCGAAAAATTCTAATAAACGCACCAAATATTTCAAGGCCGACCCTCATTACGCAGTGGGGTGTTGCAATAATGACAAAAACTTCTATCAGTCTTTTACAGTATATCATTACTATTATTGTTACTGTCTTTTTTTGTGTAATGTTTTTAACATTTCAAGAACTTTGTGGGAATCTTCATACTTGATGCTGCTGTTGCACCTGAATTTCCACTCTGCACGATGATATTTTCAATCTAGTAGTAAGTATTTAATGTCATCAACACACTAAATACTGATCTCTACTAACTTTACTAGGGTCAAGTAACATCTTCGTTGTTGAAGTCAAAACAGAGTTGCATATTTTAAAAATTGAGGAGTTTTTTAAGACCAGTTTTTCGGAATCGTTTGCCCCTTCAATGCATAGAATTTCGTCCAACATGCTGTGCCATTTAGAACGCTAGTGGTTGGGAATTTCAAAATATTTTACAGGGTGAAAGAAAGGCTGTAAAAACAACCAGAGAGTCAAAAATAGCCACAGATATAATGTTTTGCGTCATTTGGATTTTTGTCGTCTTTCAGGGTGTCTGTTTTTAGGATAGTGAATGAGCTCACGTGTGAAGAACTCGTCTTACGCACATGCACATCTTAAAATATGTTTCACTCCTGGGAGTTGGCTGATGGAAAAGAGGCTTGATTTGAAGCCAGACACAAAGACTCAGACTGATCCAGCTATGAAGCTTTACTCTTTGTATTTTTTTAAATATATTTTTTTTGACAAAACAGAACAAAAAGTCCCTTTAAAGTATCCTTCGTCGGTTTAAGGAGTCCCAAACACTTAACTGTTAAAACAGATGGATAATGTCTTCAGCTAGTAAGTAAAAGCTTTAGCAACAATCACAGAATCCAGAACAGAGAAAGGACAATTACTCAGATACTATATTAGACTTTGACCTGAAGACCATAAAAGTCCAGGGAGGGCATGGACTTCATGGGTCATTGATGTCAGAAGGACGCACGTTATTTACTTCCTTATAGAACTAGAATAACGATTTAATATTAAAACCTGAGTGGCAATAAGCAAAAGTACACAAGAAGTATGGCAATGGAAGCAAGATTAGTGTCTGTAAACATTCTTTGCAGCTGTAGTTGATGACGTTGACTATGCTCAACGTGACTGAAGAATATTAATAAGAATATGAGCAAATCTCTTTTTAATGCAATCTGATAGGACATATTTAAGGTGCTAGGCATTAGAGCAATAGAGCAGTGAGTTTTGTAAAGTTAGCAGGCTTTCGGGGATATGTAGGTCTGTGAATAATCAGCATAATTTTGATGAGACAAACCTCTACAGGTGGCCTAAAGGAAGGATATATCCTAGAAATGTATACTTACTGGTCTCTATGTTTAGTCTATCGCTTTCGGACAACTTTTTATTCTTGATGACAGATTTAAGAATGCTTTGGGAAGATTCACTGTAGCTTTCCATCCAGCTTGTTTTAATTCAGTGATATATATATATATATATAATTTTTTTATTTTATTTTTTTTAAGTACTGGCTCCTCTGGCAGATTATATCTCTTATGACAAGGCAATTTTCCCATATTATAAGTGAAATAATCTGTCCATGGTACTAGACTAAGACTTAAAACAAGCTCCTATATCTTGCTAAAACGTTACAGTTATATTGACTTATTTAATGTATGGTAAGATATTTTCACTGGAAACGAGACCAAAAGTATTTGGTAAGTTTTAGTGTTTTTGCAGCGTAGACTAATCTATGCTGCCGTCTTCTTGGAAGTGCCTCAAGTACTGTAGACGTTACTAAGGAAACCAGCTGTTTAAGTAAAACATTTAAGTTAAACACAAAAGCTGGAATTATATAGTTCTCGGAAACAAAGTTAATAATTACAAACAAAGGCTACATTAAAAAGGTTCCATGCCTGTGTTTGTTTAAGCTGGAGAGAAAGAAGTGGACTTGTGTTCTGGCAGAAAGACGTGATTTGCGAGCTAAGTGATCTGATGATGGCGATTGGCGCTTTAAGGGGCAGATTTTAATCCTCTAAAAACTCACAAAAGAGTAGTAAAGGAAACAAAAAATAGGGGTAGAGGCAGTAGGAGTACACAGGGAGTTAACAGTAGATATTACCGTTTCCAAAACAGGCAGTTAAAAAAAAAAAGAAGAAGAAAAATGCAGAGCAAACGAGAAGGGAGGGCTGACTTGCTCGAACTGGGTGCCTGTCTAAAGTCAGGGGGTCAAGATGTGGATGACGCAAATCGGTAAAATAACAAAAATATCCCATCATAAACATGACTGAGTTAGTGTGCCAGGTCAACAGGTCCGCTCGCCAAGCTCTACAGAACCCCCACGGCTTTGCTCCGTCTCCCCAGGCTTGGGAAGGCCCAGTGGGGCCCGGGGTCTGGAGGAGCACTGCTGCTTCTCACCACAATCCTCCAGAGGTTAAAGAGAAACAGAACGTATGCCCAACGCGTCAGATCTCCTTCCGACTTCCATGACCCTGACCCTCACTTAACCTCTTTTTTTTTTTTTGTCTCTTCTGCATCCGTGTTCATGAATTTGAGTTTTTCTCCTACACTCATTTAAATTATGAAATTAATTTAAATGTAATGAAATTATTAAATGCACTTTCATAAATATATTTACAATTTTAACATGAGCTATGGTGGTTTTTGATATGCGTCATATGAGCCATTGCCCAGAGTGTTAATACAACAAGACAGCAAAGCACCATACTTAAAAAATATATATTAATTTCTCTTTTGCGGCCTAAATAAACAGGTTTTTTATTGCTTTTGTGGCGAGAGAATCAACACATGAGCTGTCAGTCAATGAGCTCATGTCGAGTGAGCCTGTGTCGCTAAAAGTAGTATTTTTAACTGCGCCCAAACAGAAAATTTGAAGAAAATATGTTTTCATAGCATAATTTTGACAACAACCCCAACTATTGCCACTTGGAAACAATAATTTTAAGTTTGTCCTTTCAAAGAAAAATCTCAACTTGTACCCAACTGAACATGATGTACAATGACAGATTAAACTTCAGCAACCTGACAGCCAAAAGCTTATTCTGTGTTGATTCACAGATATGTTTAGATTATGACAGCAGATAAATGACTGTGGTCGCTTATATGCAACTGAACAAAAGCAGTTTGTCAATAATCAATTTTGTCATACTTTTCACCAGAAACAAACCCACATTTAAAGCAAAAAGTGCAAACAATAGTAAACACCTCTTTAACAAGAGCTAAAGTGGTAAGTAAAAATAAAATAAAAACTGTCCAGTGTTTCTATAAATCCAACAATCAAATTAAACACAGATTTTAAAATCCCAGTCAGTTAAAGAATTTTTTTTTTTCTCCAGAACCAGTGCTTATATTCACCACTGGAAAAAAGGAACAAAAACATTCATAGTCCATGAATTATGCATAGGATAAGAAGTGTATAAAGACACACACAAAAAATAAAATCCCAGCTTTCTCTGCTATGGTTAAGAGAAAAATCGCATACAGCCAAAGGGGCCTTTTACAGGTTCAGTTCAAGTGCACAAAGAAGAACTGCGAATGGAGGGAAACTTTCTTTTACAAAGGGATTCTTGTCGCCCTCTGCTGGACAACATAAGTAGCGTCTTTTGGTAAAACTAAACGTAAGATGGAGAAGTAATTAAATGAATCAAACATTTCATATAAGGAAAAATTAAAGCAAGGTCACTTTACAGCAGTAAAACACAAAATGCACATTTACAATGGGAAGTCTAATTTACTGGATGTTGAACATAAGTGTTACGTTGTGATCACCAAGAAACTTTTTTTATGTTTTAGGAGATTGGACAGTTCGACACTTATGAAAATGTTGGCTTTCGATAAAGCACCAAATTACTTTTACTCACTTACACAAATAAGAAATCGGAATCACTGTCGCACAAACCTTCTAAAAACGTATGCATGCAAGTGGTAAGTAAAAATAAACCAGACAGATGCAAACTGGCATATGAAAGAATAATTGTAAAATATTTTTTACATTTTGAAAAATTCTCTACATAATAAATAATATAATAAGTTCAGTTTAAGTAAAAATGTATGTTGTACCCAGTAATAGCATCCTACTGATTAGAAATTTGTAGTGTTTTACTCAACATAAGTATTAGTATAGAAGATGCCCATGTATTTAAAGGAAAACCTTTTAGAGTTATTTACTTTCACAAAAGAAATGCATATTATTTCACAACATTTAGGAGACACAGCGAAATATAACACGTACCGTGCTGTGAAAGACAACACTGTGACCATTTCCCCCACTTTCGATGTGAGTGGTGAGGTTGAGACAGATGGCCCTGTGACGTAGCACATCCATAGTTTGGACATCAAAGAAATCCTGGGGCCTCGCTGAGAAGTTGGGAAGACAAATTCAAGGAGAGGCAAGTCGAGCAAAAACCAAATGACACTTAAAAGAAAAAAAAAAAAACAGGTCAAAAAATGATGGTGGAAATATATAAAATCTGCGTAACTGTATGTACACAGACATACATTAGAAGCATCTTCTGATCGACTGCTAACTTAAAGGGAGCTGTGGACGTGATATAATACAGCTAATGGTTGTAAAATTTTGTCTTGTTTATTAATCTCAGCATCCACATAAACATACCAGAAACTACACCTGAAGTAAAAACACAAACAAATCATGTGCAAGTAAAAGGACACTCTTTAACCCTTCATGTCCAAAATTTAAAATGGATACAATGAATATTATATCCATAATTTCAGAAACAGTTTAAAGTTTTCAGATAGCGGCAAGTGTGGCGGTATTATGGTATTGCAAATTTGGTTGGATAACAGGCTCTCCGCTTAGGACTTAAAGGACATATAACAAAATGTTTGGTTTTTAACATTAGTCAAAAATGAACCAATCTTTAATTGTCATTTCAATTACAGACATCTGAAAGGTAAGTATGTCATGACAAGAATTATGAATGTATTGGTGAGTAGGTGCAGCTCCAAAACCATTAATGGAGAATGTGAAGTCAGTGGTCCTATTAAATGTTAAAGTGCCTTGCCAAAGACAGAGGAGGAGACATCAGTTTGTGACTCTGCACATATGAGACTGCAGCAGTTCAGAAAAAGAAGAAGACTGAATGAATATGAAGAACTTCTGGCCTTACACTGATGCTGAACTGTTTAAAACGTGTCAAACTCGAAGTCCAGCATCCTGCAACTTTTAGATGCACCTTTGCTTCAACACACCTGAGCCAAAGATTGAGGTCATCAACAGGGCTCTAAAAATCTTGACTACATAGCAAGGAGGCAAATTAGCCATTTCAGTCAGGGGTGATATCTAAAATTTGACTGATTTGAAAGTTTTCAGATGGACCAGAGGTCGCTTGTTTGGGCCAAACCAGAGTTCAGGCGATATTTTCACACCTGCCCTGATGAAGGCTATGAGTCACTTAGCTTGCGCACTCACTCATTCATTTGGTGTGAATTATTCACCCAAAGTGAACAGAATAAAGCACTTTTCCCTGAAAGCAAACCGTTGATGCGTGGAACACTTTGCTTACGTCAATCTATACTCCAAGACATAACTGAGAAAAGAGAAAAAAAAAACGCTTTTCAAAACAAGTTTAAATTGTGTGCTTGTTGGATACATACGTAGAGACCATCTGCGTTTGTTCTTGAGTTTCTTCCTTTTGTTGATTCCCGCCTTAGATGGTGAATCCTCCTTTAGTTTGGCCTGGCTTGACATTTTGGAAGAGCTCTGCTGGCTGAAATGACTGGGGACGTGACGAGCCAACCCTCCTTGAGAAGCAAAGCTGGCATTGCAGCCACCAACTACACACTGCAATAGAAAAGTAACAGCAGGACAAAATTAAACAAGTACCATTTATATATAAATCTAACTTTAGATGCCTGGCAAGCAGCTACAGGCCAAAAGTTGTGGTTTTATCAAAAGTTGTTTATTATTTTTAATAAGTAACTAAATAGCCAAAGAAAATTCACATCCTCAAAAAGAAGGACAAACTATTGCTGAAGATCACATTAAATTATCTTACAAGATCACTAAAACGTTATATGAAATATATTTATAACGAGAAATGACCTTAATGTAATTTCTCGTGACAAGAAATGACATTTAGGTCACCTCACTTGACATTAAGGTCATTTCCCGTGACCCAAATGTCAGAGGTGAGGTGATTTCCACATCATAAATAAAAGACAGATTTCCTGAACAGGAGGAAATTCTCCTACTCACACCGTCACAAGTGCATTTGTTTCCTTCCTACCTTGAAGGGTTTATCTCCACTGTGGGTCAGCATGTGTCTCTGCAGCCAACTCTGGCTGGTGGATGGTGTGTTATACACCTTGCAACCCTTCCAGAGACAGACGAATACCTGTGAAACGGACACAGAGACAGAGTGCGAATTAGACCAGTAGCCGTGGTATTCATGCGAGGACTAACCTTTATTCTTTGTAGTCTGTTAATTTCTCCTGAAAACAGTAGCAGGTAGAGGATGTCCGGGAAGTTTTTGGATATTCCTAATATTGTTTGAGACAAAGACAACCACAACATTTAGTCACTGCAACCGTCGCCTTTAGAAACACAGTGTCTTTATATTTTCCATTAAAAAGACACTGAATGCACTTGCGCAAATAACTAATCTGAGAAACAACAATGTAATTTAAACATCAGGATCATTTTGACTTCCATAAAAATGGTTAAAAACAGCAAGAAATGAATTTGATACCCGATGTTTTGTACACAATTACAGATTGGGCGACATTTATCAAAAATTGGTGTGGCTCCGAGTTCAAAAACCATCTTAGAACAAGTTCAATGAATATACACTTAACAATCGCAGCATAAAAAACAACATCCATGGTAAGAAGCAGTAACCTGTTATTTACCACACACCATCCATCGTTTCATTCCCAGCCTTTTTTTGATATTAATAAACAGATAATTGTTACAAAAAAAAAAAACTTGTTTCAGATTTTAGAGTGACAGCAACACATCGCATAGACACAACTCTAACACATCACATACAACCAGTACAACATTACACAGAGCAATAGGGACTCTGTTGCTGGTCCAGAGGAGGACCATCTCCCTTTCACTACCTCCAAAGCAAAGCACCAGCATGTTTGAATGAAGGTATCCCCAGTCTGCCACTGAAAGATCTTGTTGTCCACAAAGCCCAGAATGATGAGTGCCTCATGTTTTTTCAGGCAGTCAAATCAATACATAAGAGTATAATTTTATTGCTTTCTCCGGGGGTCAACCACAATATTTCGGTTAGCATGTTAAGTTCAGACAGCCTTTGGCACCCCTCAATACAACCAGTCTCTCTAATCCTAACCAAAAAATTTATTTGACAATTCAACTTCCACTAAAAAGATCACCCTAAATCCTGCACTGTTGATTAAACACAACAGATTGTACTCCGATAGCTTATTTGTCCTACCATGCAAGTTGACGTCAACATAAACTAGTGGCACACTGTTGTTGGATGTGAGCATTTTTGATGCATTGATAATGAACCCCAGCATGTTCACAAAAGAGGATCAAGAGGATGCAAACTGCATTTTTAAATAGGAAAAAAAACTCAAATAACATGCATTATTACTATTCCAGCATTTTTCCTGGTTTGGTGATGGCTTACAATTGTGACAGACTCTCCCAGCTCTTACCTAAGAAGCTGTCATGCTAGCTAGCGAGCGCTACCTCATACACCATTTAACACTGCGTCTCTAGCAGTGTTAAACATTATATAAATTGCTGCCTATTCAAGCGCCACAGTGTTTTCTCAATTGTCCACATGAATTCCCATACAGTAAATGTTTGGCTCTGTGCTAGATCTGTGCACAGTCAGTCAAGCTACAACAAAAAAATAAATATATATAATAAAATAAGCACACCAGCCAAACAGAATCAAGGTTTGCGACTAAGCTCCTTCAAAACTTTAAAGTTTACCAACCCCTCCTCTCTGGCCGTCCACATGAATTCCCCTGATGTGCTCTGCCAGGTCTGGGCTGGAGTTGAAGCACTGTGGACAGAGGTCCCAGCAGCAGGTGTAAGCCATCGTCTTGGTCGCAGAAGATCTGGCGCTGCTCTGGCCGTTCAACAGTGCAGGCGTGGAGCGCCCGCTGGATCCTATGCTCTCCATTTCTATGGTGGTGCTGCAGACACTGAGTGAGAGGAGAGAGCAGGCTGGTTGGAAAGGGATTCTTAAGGAGTGATGGTCATAAAACGCATATGGATCAGGTTTTGCAGACACGAAGAACAGGTGCAGATGCTGCTCACAGTTACGTAATCAGCATGAGGTAAAAGCCACTGGAGGATGGGAGAGATTTTCAATGCCTGCCACATCAATTACATGCTATACTACTGAACAGCTTGACAGAAATCAGAATCATGCAGGTTCTCTGAGGTTGCTACAGAAAAATTTAATAACACAGTTTTATGTTAAAGTTTGTTATTCCTGGGCAAATGCCAAAGCAAATGAAACAACTAAAGTAAATGAATCTTTCACCATGGTTGCATAATCGTTTACAATGCCAGAAAAACATCCCATGTTTGAAGCTAATTGCTTTTGAAATAAAAAATTCACAGATGACACAAAGGTTGAAGTAGTGGTGCCCTCCATTGCTGGGCTCACCTCACATGTTTTCTGCAGAACCTAAGATTTAAGTTTGGTCCCACTCAAAGGTTGGCTTCATGTCTGGCAAACTGTTCCTGTAATGATTTGGTAGTGTGACTTGGAACATTGCCCTGCAGAACAAAATTATGACCATTTACTGCTAGGGCCAAGGCCTTTGGCGGAAAAACAGGCCCCAACCATCACAGATCCTCCCCCATACTTCACAAGCATGAGGTGCTCATTATGACCCACCGAGAGATTATAGTGTGATGCCAAAAGTATTAAAACATTAAGATCCTTTCAGTAGACTTTCCATGTTTTGATTTATACCTTTTCATTTAGTATTTACTCCTTCTCCCCTTTGAATAAAAATACTCAAATTACAGTTAATTATTTTTCTACATCTTTCAGCGTGAGATTAGGATACAACAATATAAAATGGATGAATTTATTGATAAGAGTGATTAACTATTCAGCTGACGGGGAAGGAACAGTGATACTGCCTCCGAACCTGTCCATCAAACCCACCTGTCCTCGGAGTCCATTCGGCTCAGTGGTTCTCCGTCAGAGGACGACACTTCCAGACTGGAGCGCCTCTTGTCCCCCAGCTCCCCGCCGCTGCCCTTCTCCCCATCTTCACTAGCAGATGTGCTCTTCTCACAATCTATTCCCGAAGACCGACTATCGTCGTCTGGCTCCTCCTTGAGGGCCTTCACGGTGATTTCGCCGTTCTGTTCGCTGCTATTGTCCCCCGGACTTGGTTGTGACTGCGGTCCTTGCTCCGGCTCTTCGTGAGCAGCCGTTGCTTCCTGGGTGACCGTTGGAGCAGCGTCCTCCTTGCCCACCTCTCTCGCGTCCACATCTTCCATTTTCGGCTCCGCGGCGCTGACTTCGTTTTCTGTTTCCGGTTCGGTAGAGCCATTTTCTTTTTTCTCGCTGTCAGCTTCGTTTGTCTCGCTGGGTGGAACGTCGCTCCCACCACTCAGGGCGGTGGTTTCCTCGGGGTCCTCTGCGGCCATTAGTACCGTGAACGAGAAAAGAAACACTTTCGCTATTAAAATTTCCTGGCACGGTCGAACGCTACCACAGTGGGGAGGAAGGCGGGGCCTGACCACAATGTCTGCTCTGTGATTGGCTCAGAGCGACGCAGGGAGGAGACACGCTGTCACCATTTAAACTGCCCATGTGTTTTCGGGTATTTATGGCAAAATGAGACAAAGTAGTGGTCAGTTTTTAACTGTTTAACAAATACATCAGGTGTAAACCACCTTTGTAGCGTACCATGGTTGGCGCATTTAATTCACATGTTAAATAACAGCTTTTTTTCATATATATATATATAGGGATATATATTACACACATTTTTTTTAAGAAACCCTCTTAACTTGTTTTGGTTTGTTTGTGTTAATAGCAATGGACAAGATTTATTGTGTCATTGTTGTTATTCCAGAAAAACATCTGGCCAGAGTCTCTAAATTTAGGTCACACGTTTTTCCTTTACAATTAACAATTAAAATGAACTTTTCAGTTTCCCTTTAGGGATTAATAATGTGACTTTGAATGGAATTGAAACATGAATAAATTAAAAATAAATCTTTAGTATAGCACACCCTAACATTCAGTATGAGAACAGAATGATATGGACACAAAGTTGGCTACCCAGTGACTCATTCCCATTTATGTATTTTAATCGATCACAAAATCTCTTGTAACCATAACCCATCAAACCAAAACAACTCTTAAGCAAATAACCATCAAAAACCTGTTAGTTAATTTGTTTTTCTCACCATTCACTCCTATTGTCTTGATTCATTTTTTTAATTCAAAGCTCTTCCTGTTAATAAAGGATTTTTATGCGTTTTCACTTGACACCTGATAGAATAGCTGAGGTAGCTCTGGTACGTGACCGGCAGAGGGCAGCACAGGATATTAGAGGCACGCACGTTCTTCTGCCGGAGCGCTGACGTGCTGCTGTGGTTACAGCTGTTGATAGGTTTAAAGCATCAGCTGGGTGGAGTTTCCTCACTGAGCATGTGTGGTTTATACTTATAATCTGGATCATGGGGATGCATCATGATCTATCATGGCCATAAGGGCCACAAGGACAATCAGGATTCCTGATTCAGGAATAACCAGAACCATCAGGACCATAAAATTCACAAGGACAATTAAGGGAGCCACCAAGAGAGTCAATATAGTCAAGACTTATCAGAAGTCATCTATTCTGGGCCACAACCCGTCAGTATAGAAACACAACTGAGAAGACTGAGACGACTGTAAGATCATCTTTCACTTTCATCTTTCATGGCAGCTCTAAGGTAGAAAAGCATCGGGAACAACAAAAAAATCCACTGAATCTGAGTCAGAGTGGCGAACTCAGACAACTGTGATGTAACAGCAGACGCTGATGGTTTCAGCCTCTTCATCTTTCAGGCCAGCTCTAATTTCAGGAAACCCATCTTTCCTCTCCAATCAGAGAAAAGTCCTTGGATGGACGCCCAGACCCTGACCTCTGACCCCTTTGGGGACAGATGAATGTCTGAACTGTCTGGATGGGTGGAGACAGAACTGACACGCTACCTGAATGTGATAACAGCAGACTGCAAACGCATGAAAAACCAGACATTTACCTCAGACACAGAGACTGTGACACAGGAAGCATCTCACTGCCTCAGACACAAGTTCTCTGGTTCGGCTCCGATTGGGTGGAACATGTCACCTTCAACAGGATCACACTCATGTACATTTGGGACAAAACTGTCTCATGGAGATAGTGACATTCAGAGGACATATCCAGTGCAGAGTTTCAGAGATTTGCGGATGATTCGGATCGCGGCGTACCTCTCATTTGGAACAGCTCTAACCATTCAGGGAAAATAGTCTGTTGTTGAATAAGAAAATGTATGCATCACCTCAACCAAAGCCAGTGAACAGTGCTATCAGTTGTTACAGTATTTTGTCAAGAGCAGAAGTGGGAGAAGCATCTTATCTCAACAGAAAAACTATAGATGATTGCAAATGCTGCACATAAAGTTTACAGTTTGCTTCATGTATTTTGCTTCAGTTCACAAGATTGAATCCCTAGGCAGTTTTACATCTTTACTGAAGCAAAAGATACATCATAAACCTTGTTTTAGCCTATAAAACTCAGTGAAATTAAAGCCCATACTGTCAGTTATCATTGACAATGTGGGCTTTCCAATGAGTGTGTCCGGGTAGCCCATATCCCGAAAAGACATCAAACAATTGCATAGAGTGCCACGGTTAGAAATGGTAGAGTTTTAACAGAAATCTTTCATATGGTGTTGTGTGGAGGTGCTAATTGTCTGACATGTAAGAAAAACTGGGGACTGTTTTCAAAGCTCTCCTTAAGCAGTTAAAAAAAACAATAAAGAAAACTGAACTTTTACATGAAACAATTAACGATGCATGGAAAACCAAACACAAACAGTGAAGAAAAGTTTAAATCCTTATTTCTAAACCGATGCATCTCAAATATTTATGAAGCTTATGTTTTACCTGAGAACATGAAAATCTTTTATTTCCATCAGGAAACCAGACTTTTAAACAGGAAGGAGGTTTTATGTGATGTTGACTAATGCGTCCACTCACTCCGACTCATGAACATTTTATAACTCTGCAGGCACTGCTATGAATCAATTTGATCAATGATTAAGGTTTTTTTTATGTTTTACATTAGTTGTTTGGATCTGATCAAAAATGCAACAGCTGAAGGGAAATAGAAAACCCAACCAGAACAATAGGAAAACGAAACATTGTTAAGTTTCGATGCCAGAGAGATGTAGAAGAGATCCTCTGTTTGGCAGGTTTCAGGCAAAAAATCTGATGTTTTAATTCCTGCACCCACGGTCCTGACCAGATCAACCAGTCCTCCCATTACAACCCCAAGTGGCTACGCGGCTTCCAGATCCTGAAAGCAGGATGTTCAGGGCGGAGGACGAGATGTTCCTCCCAAACAGGGCAGGATGTGAGAGGGAGGAGGAGGTGTGATTTACTGTCCGCCTGAACGAGTGCCGGCCCAAAGATAAGAGCAGGAGGGAGGAGAGGATGTGGAGCTGAACTCGCTGCTGTTTCCTCAGACAGCTCCCTCAGCTGTAAATATGTGGCAAAACAAAAACCAAGTGTTTCTATGGGCAATTACTGAAGAGCCAGACTCCAGCTAGAAGGTTATGATTCAGATAACGACAGGGAGATTAATTTAGATTATCTTTATCATCCATACATTGTCTGTAGGTGCAGCTACCTGAAAACCTGAGATGTTGACGGGTGTTGGTTCCTTTGAATCAGGACCAAAAGTTAACAATTATTTCTTTATGCATTTTTATGATGTCCCGGCTATTCATTTGTTTTTAATAAACGTTTTGTCATCTAAACGATGCTTCAATTTTGCTGCGTGCTATACATCTTGTTGTTAATGTCACATTTTTCACCTCACTTTCTTTATGTTTTTGTAAACACATCAAACCTTCTGTATTAATGCTAGTTTAAAAAGCAACGCGTCTTGTCCTCTGTCACTGCGTTACTGTCATCTGATCCAGGTTCTGCTGATGCTACATGGCTCTGATCATAACGGAGGTGTTACTATGTGTTAGTTCTAATCTCTGTTTATCTATTCAACCACTGATAGATTTAGTTCAGTTTAATTTGTTTTGTTGCTGTTTATTAAATTACCATAATTGTCTCAGAACATTGGATCTGGGAGCAGAACCCGACTGGAAATTGCTTTTTATCCTGTAACCAAATCAGTCCACTTCCACAGTGTATGACAGAACCGGGCCGTGGCTGGACCTCTTGGGTCTCCTCCTGAGTTTTCCTGCTCAGGTTTATTAGAACAACCGAACATCCTGAGGAATTTCCTCCTTTCTGGTGTTTCCAGCAGCTCTGAAGATCCTGAACCTCAAATGAATGGGAGGAAGTGCTGCTGGCTGACTTTTTTCCTCCCACAAAGACGCACTTCCTCCCAGCTCTGCTGCCCCACTCATCAGCGGCCGCAGGACACACGGAGGAGCAGCAGAGGAACATGAAGGCCCTGCTTCTGCTTCTGCTTCTGGGATCCAGCTGTGTCTGTAAGTAAACCAATATGTTTCTGTTGCTGGTTATTATTCAGTATGGGATCCTTCACATGTCTGTTTATCTTTTCTTTTTTTCTTTTTTTAAAATAATTATTATTATTATTATTTGTTATGAAGGAATTCAGACTCCTGAAGAACGCTGAAAAAACTTGATCAAAAACCTCATGAGTTCTGGTGGGAGGTTGAATAAAAACTACTACTACTGCGAGAATCAGAACCAGCATGTCGTTGCAGTGTTGCCTTGTTCAAGTCTTTTTTTTATGGTAAAAAACAGGGGAAACTGTTTATGTTTTTTTGTTGAATAAAGCACAAGCGATAGGAGATTCATGTCTTGATTCAGACAAGAGTTGAGGAGCAACAGCTCCCCAACAATGACGTTCTGGACCAAAAATCCAAATATTTTTACTTTCTCTTTGTTAATTGTGTCAGGGAATGATATAAACCTAATTACCTTTATTATTATTTTATTTTTTAAAAATGCAGTAATATTTGCTGATTACCTAGATCTTCATTCAAATTTAATGAACTTCACGGAAAGATAAACACAATGATCATGTTTTTAATTTAGCTGTTTTTTTCATAATGAACACACCAAGTTCGCCGCATATTAAAATCCAAAAGGCGTAAATGGTTTATTCACCATCATAAGTCTCCCTAGTTTGGGTTTGATGTAGTGGCGCAGGAGTTAAGCACAACCCATATGTGGAGGTCTTAGTCCTTGGCGCGACTGTCGCAGGTTTGATTCCCGGCCTGGCAAGTTTTGCTGCACGTCTTCCCCTTCTCTCATTACCTACCTTCCTGTCAATTAACTATCAAATAAAGGTCAATGGAGCCAAAATAATAAGTTTCTCTGCTCAGTAAATGCATTCTGCTTGTTTTTTACATTCCTGTTCCCGAGAGCCTGCAGCAACTCTGAGAAATCTACGCATCTTGGTTTAAGTACATTTTTAAAGTTAAAACTAGGTTATCATAAATGAAGGCAATAGCTTTATTTAAAGAGAATAATATGATAATCATCATACACAATCAAACAGAAAAACACCAAAAGCTGTTGGAAAGAAAAACTTTCTTAAATTTTATATATTTTTTATTTATCAGTATTGAAGAATGTATGTGAGAAAAATGAGAAATGTCAAAGAAAAAAAACTGGTTAATTGCTAAGTTTTAATCTGGTTCATTGGATTCACTGCAATTAATGCTAGATATGAACTCAAAAACACGGATTCCCAAAGAAAATCAAAAATATGCATTACCAAAGTAGAGCTCCCAGCCTGTTCTGTAGGAGTCTGCATAAAAATTGCTTTCCCGTTTAGAGGAAATGTCTATTTACCTGCAACCACAGGGTTGTTGTTGTTGTTGGTGGGTTTTTTTTTTTGTTTGTTTTGTTTTTGGTATCCTATCAAAGAGACCAGTGTAAGTGGATCACTGTTTGTTGTTGGAAATGAGTGCATGAAGCAAATAAACAATAAAAAGACATTTTCATGAGGCAGGACGAAATTTTCTTTCAAAAATGATGCCGATAAATCTCCAAACTTCCAAGTTGCTTGGCTAACATGTGAGGAGTAGATTAGTACAGAAGTGCTTCAAAGAGTTTGATATGAAGCAATGTTTTGCATAGAACATGCAAAAAGAAGCTTTATATCAAATTTTAAATATTTATGTTTTTTTGATCTTTGAAATCCCTTGATGTGTTATTTTTTAAAGGGGGCGTGGCAAGTTATTCTTATATTTTTATTTCTTTACATTTTCATTCTAACTGATTTGCTTGTTGTTTTTTAAAATAAATTCAAGAATATGAAGATCTCTGCTATATAAATAATCCTGTTTCTCAGGTTTCTGAATTTCTGACTTTTGATCTGAGGACTATTTCACGTTGCAAGACGAGTTCTGTTTTGGTGATTTCTTGATTTCTTAAAACTGCATCCAGCTTTCCCAAAAATGTAGTTAATACCAGTTAAATCATTATTTAATTAATGGACAGTATGACGGCAGAAAAGATCTTTTCACACAGGTCCATGTTGGTTTGGAGAGCTTTTTAAACAAAATAATCATTTGAAAATGGCATTTTGTGTTTACCCAGCTATACTTTTAATTATTTTAAGGATATTAAAATATCCTTGTTTAATCAGAAGCATTTTAGTGTGACAAATAAGGCAAAAAGAGAAGGAATCAGGAAGAAGGAAATACTTTTTCATACAATGTGTTTCATAAATCAAATAGATAAACCAGGACTACAGACCAAATGTTCTCTTCCTCTGGAGTTTAAATTATTTTATGTTGGTATTTTAAAACATGTTATTTTTCTTTTATTTCTCCTACTGGTGTTGCTCTGAGCTTATTGCTCTGAGCTTATTCACTATTATCAATGATAAAATGCTGAAAAAAGTGTAAACGACAAGGAAATAACAAGAAAACATAGTTTCAAATAGTTTTGAGTGCAAGTTAGTTGTCAGTCCAGTGTTTTGTTGTTATTTTTTATTTATTTATTTTAAAAGTCAAGAGTTATTTTTAATCCTGCAGGTGTTTTCCTGTTTCGGAAACTCAGACTCCCCCATGTCAGTCCATAAACATACCTGCAGGAAAACTCCAGGTTCAGTCCGACAATTTATGATTCACACACACTCTGGTCCATCTGGACACGGCTTTGATCAGAAATGTTGGTCGAGTACCATACGTCCAATGTGGCTGTTCTGAGTTTGATTTTCAACTCGATGGACTGCTTGGTATCAATTAGAAAATCGGCATGTTCAGCGTCTTTCTTCCAAAGATGAAGGCCAGTAGAATAGGGCTTTGCAAAAATTTAAGCAAAGATAATTGAACTGGCAAAACATAAATCTGTGATTCTAAGTGATCAGAATTACAAACAATGCCGGCTAAAGGACTCTAAAACAAAATCCAAAAACTAGAACAATTTTCAGATTGTTTCAGGATTGTCATGTCCTGGATGGCTGAGAATTAGCTACTGGTGCCTGAAGCTAATGATTTGTCTCATAGTAAGTGAGGCTGGAAAACTATTTTAACCCGATGCAGACGTATTCACATTCAGGAGGCCATCAACAGTCTCCCTTGTCGTCTGACATCAGGGTGTGTCGTCATTAAAATTCTGAAAATTAAATTAATTTGTTGCTAAGTCATATTCAGAGTTTGACCTTTTCTGAATATACAGATTTAATTGTTTGATCATCCTCATTTCTCATGTTTTTGTTTTCAGGCACAACTTCCTTTCCCAGTTTTTCTTCACCTACACATGAACCGGAGGAGCTCTCCAGCGGTTCAGACAGAACCAACACAAATGACCCATTGCCAAACACCGACAGAGCCCTGGGAACCACCCGACACATTAACATCTCCAACATCCACAGTTCATCAACTCATGGAGCCCAGGGAGACACCACCAAACCTCCGGATTTACTTCCAGATGATACATCCTCTGTCTCAGAGCTTTTTCATCCAAACACAGACCAAACTGTTTTATCCAATGTTGATGTGTCCACCACTCACCAATTGGACCAGATGGGTCATACTGTCCCATCTGGTCCAAGTGTGTCCACCACTGACCAATTAAATGTCCACAATCTTTCATTTGGTCCAAATGTATCAACCGCTGACCAATTAGAGGCTCACAATGCCTTATCTATCACAAGTGTGTCCACCACCAATCAGTTGAATGACCACACCGTGTCATCTGGTCCAGGTTTGTCCACCACCAATCACATGAATGTCCAGGCTGTGTCATCTGGTCCAGGTTTGTCCACCACCAATCATGTGAATGTCCAGGTTGTGTCATCTGGTCCAGGTGTGTCCACCACCAATCAGTTGATTGACGACACCGTGTCATCTGGTCCAGGTGTGTCCACCACCAATCAGTTGAATGACAACACCGTGTCATCTGGTCCAGGTGTGTCCACCACCAATCACATGAATATCCAGGCTGTGTCATCTAGTCCAGGTGTGTCCACCACCAATCAGCTGAATGTCCACACCGTGTCATCTGGTCCAGGTTTGTCCACCACCAATCACATGAATGTCCAGTCTGTGTCATCTGGTCCAGGTGTGTCCACCACCAACCAGCTGAATGTCCAGACTGTTTCATCTGGTCCAGATGTGTCCACCACCAATCAGTTGAATGTCCAGACTGTTTCATCTGGTCCAGGTGTGTCCACCACTGACCAATCAGAAACTCCAACAATGTTATCAGGTGCAAATGTGTTCACCTCCGACCAATCAGATGTTCACGTTGCCTCATCTGGTCTAGATGTGATCACCACTGGCCGATCAGAAGTCTCAAACAGTTCAAAAGGACACATGAAGCCACAGCCTAAGACTGAAACAGCATCAGTGTTGAACACATTGTCCTCCCTTAATGGAAATCAGATTCACTCCAGTGGAAGCAGAACAGCAAGGTTTGGTTCTTCTACAGGATACCCAGGGGAGAGCACAGGTGGAATGAAGGACTTCACATCTACATCTACATTTTCTGACAGCTCATCTGCCGACACTGAGCCAAACACCATATCAACAGCTTATCATATTACCTATACAAAACGCTCTACCTTAGCTGCACCAACCACAGCTTACACACCTGGAGAATCACTCCTTACATCTGCATTAAGGACAGAGACAAACCCATCATACAACCGTTATAACCTTGTCACAGTTCCTGAATCATCACCTTCAGTTGAAGGCTTTTCTCAACATCCAGACACAGCTAGGACAGTGAGTGAAGTAGCTGACAACACACCTGGTGGCCCACCTCGAACCGCACCTGAAGCCACATCTGCTGTTTCAGGATCTGGATATACATCTGCAATAACACCTGAGATTGGGCCCATGACCTCACCTGGGGTCACTGCAAGAACGAACCCTAAAACTACATCTGCAACCACAAATGCAGCTTCTGCACCTGGAACCACACCTGGAGATTCTGAACCTGAAACCCCACCTGGTGCTTTCACGCATGAAGTGAAGCCTGCAGTGACAACAGCAACACCTACACCTCAGTCCACACCTGAAATCTCCACACCTGAATTCACACCAGCAGCTCCTGAACCTGAAACCACATCCGAAGCTGTAAGACATGAAACTACATCTGCCACTAAACATGCAACTACACTTGCAATCAGAACTACAACCAGAGCGGCGACACCGAGTTCTGCACCTGTGACCACACCCACAGCGACAAGGCGTGTCGTGTCCACCCCCTCTACACCCAAAATGACTGTACCAACGAACCTCCCTAGCATCACCACGCAAACCACACAGTCAACTACAGCTCCACTGCTGGCCACCACACATGTAAGTATACAATCTGTGAAAATAATTCTTCTTTTGCTCCTACTTCAAGGTTTCTTCCAGTGTATTGTATGCCTGGCGGACCGCCAGGCTTTACTTGCACCCCATCAGGTTAAGCATTGTTTGTTTATTTTAAATAGGGGTTTTTATACGCTAGTAACAATGACAGTTAAGCCAGTTTTATAGTTGCAGCATTGATGTTGCCCAGACTAAAGGGCTTAATAGGTTTTCTGGGGGAAACCTTGTACTTTTATTTATACTTTAATGGTAATAACTGGGATTGCTATGAGGTAGCCGTGACGTTCTCTTCTGGACTTTTACTGGTGTCTTTCCAGGTAGCCTGACTGCAGGCCTTTCCTTAACAGAAAATTATACAGGAGGAATAGGGGCATGCAAAAGTAGTAAATTCACATAATTAAAACAAAAACAAAAGTAAAACACTCTTAATTTCTTCACTTTTAAGAATTGTTTTCTCTTTAAATGATTGTACATTCTTGGCTTTGATTCAGTGGGGCAAAAGCCTGAATAATCAAACAGAACAGAGGAAAAGTAAAAAATGCTATTTTTCATACGCGATGCCAAGCATGGTGGTGGAGGAGTAATTATTTGGGCTTGTTTTGCAGCCACAAGACCATTAAATACTCAGTCCCATAATGGAAGTCAAGTATAAACTTAAGTGTCCTACAGCGTGGCTTCATGTGTGCAGTTCAGTTCCTGCTGGGTCATCAAAAGAACAATGACTGATGAAAGGGCAAATGTACAAGCCAAAAAAGAAACAAAGTTCTTGCAATGGTTCATTCAAAATCTACAATTTAACCTAATTGAAATGTTGTGGAAGGTCCTTAGGAAGGCTGTACAGAAATGCTTCTCGTTAAATAACTAAACAACAGTGTGCCATCATTCATCTAAAACAATGAGAGAAATATTCAGACTGAAAAATAAATTATAATAATAATTGTCTAATTTTGCAAGAAGGACATTAGAGGTTTCTCTGACGCTCACTGGTTAAGTTTTATTACTGAACCATAATAGATGTTTATACCCAAGCATAAGCTTGTATTGTACTCTTTAGAACAAATGTATGCAAACACTGTCGAACTTAAGATTTCTCATTACATAAAATCTGCTCTGCCCTGCTGGAACAGGATAATTTATTCTCCAGGTGAAGATCAAGATCGCGTTTTAAGTATCATTTAGGCGTTTGCAATGAGGAACTGATGAGATTAAGGATGTTTTTGTACCCAACTTTCTCATTTCTACGTGGGTCGCAGGTAGATTACAACTCTTCCATAACCCTGAGAGGATTAAAGAGATGGAGCAGAGTTTAAATGCTCACAATTTTTTTCTTCATAATGGTCAGTCTACACAACTTCACACAGCTTCAAACTGAATCTTGCGTTTTGTGTGATCAGCATATTTGTGGCCTCTTCCTGACTGGAAAACTCAACAATGGCTAATGTTGTTGGCCCTAATGGAGTCAGGCTTGATGTTGGAGGTTGGTGGAGAAATTGTCCGGGGCGGGCAGGAAGGAAGGCAGGGTGGGTCGAGCCTCTATTTGGAGTCAAAGAGTCTGAATCAGAGTGAACTGAGTGGAGACCAGGAGCCGATGAGATGAAGAATGAAGCGTAGCTGCAGCCGACATCTCATCGGTCAACTGCTGAACTAATACTGCCACTCTGGACATGATTCACCTGCTCTGGATGGTACCTGTGTCACATGACCTCGTCTGTGTGTTAGCCTGGGTTGAAATGCACCATGTTTACCTTCTGTTAACGGGACGGACAAGCGATGCTCCCAGGATGTTTGATCCTTGGACTGTTGTGGAGGATTGGAAAGGTGAGAAAATTGGAGTGACTTGATCTTCCATAACTCTGCTGATCAGAAACCTCTGGAATCAGTTACTCCCAGATTGTAGCATTTGGTCTTTGCCTTAGGCTATTAAATTATTTTGCCAATCCCCTTGCTTTCTCTAGAGTGCCACTCTTGGTGGAACTTACCTCTGAAGTTGAACCAATTGAGATAAGGCAGTTTTGAGATTACAACTCATGAAGTGACCTCCTGTTGCAGGTCCAGACCTTCGATGGCCCAAGCTGCTCTGTGGAGCTAACAGAGGTCAGGACCAGCTGGGACTCAGCAGTGGTTTGGTTGACTGCTACCTGTCCATCACCTGACTTCACAGCCTTCATAGATGCAGGCTATGGGCCAACCGCGGTCCGCTGTGATCAGGATGGAAACAATGGATTTAAGCTTATCTGCAACATGACAGAGCTACAACCAGGAACTTTGTATGAACTAAGGGTGATCTCTGGGAAGGATAAGGAGAGAAGCCTTGGCTCAATGCGCACCGGTAAGAACATATTTGGAATAGTTTTCTACATTTGTGATCCTGTTCCCTTTAATTTTTCTGCAGGTTGATCTCCATTAAGTTTAAAACCTTCACATCAGTTTGAATTTATCATTAATGATACGACATGGACATATTTAAACCAAATTCAGTGTATATTACTTTTGATTTAAAACTAGTTGAAAAAGGACTAAAACTATGAAGTATTGTCATTTCAATGTCAGTTTCACACTTTCCATCAATGTCTCAGCCAGTGTTTCAGTGTTACTGTTGGGTCTCAGCAGTGGATTGTTTTTCTGTCAAAGCATTGCTACTGGTTCACTTCCTGCCCCACCTGCTGTATTTTTTTCTGTGTTTGCCTTAACTCAATGTTACATTCTGTTCTATAAGAAGGTAAAACACTGACTGACCAGCGCTTAACTGGTTTCCATCCCATCCAAACCTGTCAACGACCTGGTCCCTGAGCCTATCCTAGCCTTTTTATAGCCTGTCTCAAACTTTCCATAACCTAATCAGTTATTCTCTCGAAGTTTTCAAAGTGTCTTTCTGTCAACATCTCAAAAGATCTCCTTTTTCCTCTCACAGTCCCAGTTGGTCCAGCTCAGCTCGAGGTCCAGTTAGACCCTGAAAGCATGGCTTCAGTTCATGAAGGATCCTCTGGGGTACGGATCCTCTGGTCCCTTTCTGCAGGACATGTGGACTGGTATAATGTAACTCTGGAAGATGTCCACTCCGGTATGGTTCGAAGCACCAGAGTCATGGGTTCTGCAGCTCCTCAGTCTGGTTTCACCTCACTCGTCCCAGGAACTCTGTACAACATCAGTGTGTTGGCTATATCTGGGAACAAGACTGCTGCACCAGTGCACACCATTGCAGTTACAGGTGAGACAAAAAATGGAAAATCTTGGCATAGTAATAGAAATTTATAGAATTGTTAAAAAGCCTGCAGACCTTTTTACAAATCTGCTAAAAAAAATGAATAAACTGGTGTAGTTTTGAAGTTGTGTTGTCCATCAGCACAACTTCCAGATCCAGATACTGGAAGATGCTATTAGTTTACCATCTTCACTGCTGCCTGTCTTGGTATTCCTGCAGCCCCTTCAGCTGTGGACAGCCTTCAAGTAGCATCCTCATCTTTGGACAGCCTTGGTGTGCTCTGGCAGCCTGGCCCGGGACAAACGGAGAACTTTAAGGTCCTAGTGATTGACCAGGACGGGTTTCTCCTGAGGAACATCACTTTGGAGAACTCTACGACCTACACCAAGCTGGATGGGCTGCAGCCAGGGACGCCGTACAGGGTCACTGTGGTAACAATCGCTGCTGGCCTGCAGAGCTCCACCTTCATCCAGGCCTACACTGGTAGGTACAAATGCTGAAGTGATGTTGATGAAGGCTCTGAATGATTATCCTGTATGGTGAAGAGCAGTTCTGTGCTGTCTCACAAAGAGACTTTTTTTTTAAACTTTATACTGGTTGGTTTATCTCCTTTTGCTTCTCTTGATAATGTGAACTTGTTCTGGCTCTTTGAAAGCCTGAAGTTTCCTCTCCACAACAAAAGACAATGATCGATGTCTGATCAGGTCACAATACCAGATCGACCATCTGAAGCCATGTTTGAGCTAATGAGCAGTTTGTTGCTGAAATAATTTGGTATTCATCCATACAAGGTCTAATAATGAGAACCTTGAAACACAGCTGCAAGACTTGGAGAGGGTCTTGCAGCTGTTAAAGACATTCTCTTATAGATGAGGTTGAAAAAAGCTGGTGTTTTCCAGCAGGTGAAGCAGATGAGGGTGTCAGGAAAAACAGCAGCAGAGGGTGAAGATAAAAAAAATAAAATGTTGTTTCTTTTTCCTCAGTCCCAGCAGCCGTGTCAGATCTGATTGTCAACAACAATGGCAGCTCAGAGAGACTTCGGGCCTCCTGGACCCCACCTAAAGGAGGTGTGGACTTTTTTACAGTGACCCTGTGGGCTTCAGGTTTGACCCCCGAGCAACGAATCCTAGCCCCAAATGTCACCCAACTGGTGTTTGAGGGTCTAACCCCTGGACGCCGATACCAGCTGTCTGTCAACTCATCAGCTGGAGGCCTGAGTTCGGAGAGCAGGACTGAAGGACGGACAGGTAAGTCCAGGACTGTTTAGTCAGACACATTGCATGTGGTTTGTTAAAACAGAACCAACATATTGGAGAAGCCCCTGAAAAGGTGATTGTGTACTCCGTACTGAGTAATAAACAAAATAAACAGTGAGCTCCACATGCAATCACTGCAGCAGGTCAGGGAGATATTCACCTATTATCACTATTAGGGATAAACACAATTCAATTCATGTTTGGTTCAACTTATCCCATGTTGCTGGTCATCTTTAGGGTTTATCTGAAGCAACACTGACCTGTTTGAGGAGATGGGTAAATATAAACTAAAAATATTATAATTTGGGGACACAAGAGATGTTGATGTTTTTGTATTTCGCCGTTAAAAATAACATTAAGCCTCCAGCTGTTGCCTATGTACCACAAGGGCCTTTTATAATGACTGCTCTGTGTCTTTATGTTTCAGTTCCTGACCAGGTGTCCACCCTCTCCATGTCCATTGACAGCAGCAAGCTGCAACTCAGCTGGTCTCCCCCCAGAGGTGACTGGGACAACTACAGCGTTGTGTTGACAGATGGCCCTGCTGTTCTATTTAATAGGACCGTCAGTAAGAAGAGCAGAGAGCTTCTCGTGTCCGTCCAGAGCCTCGGTTTAGTTCCAGGACGGCTCTACTCTGCTGAGTTCAGAGTGCACAGCGGCGGTTTGAGTAACACAGCCCACTGCAGCAGCAGACTAGGTTAGCTACTGTTTTAACTATCTTCAATTTTATTTTTTAAAACAAGTCGTGTGAATGGACTGGTACACTGGGAACATTTCAGCCCAGTTTGGTTTGTGTTGTGAAGGTGTACAAGAAAGCAGAACTTAAACTACTTGACTGATTGGAGGATAAGATGTCAGCAGACAGAGACAGATTCAGGTCAGATTTTGGCAGAAAGAGAAAACCCACAGTCTAAATTTAAGGATGATACAAAACACTATTCACACATGGCCAAGATAGACCAATTTAGCAGCTAGTAAAGTTTTTGGACTGTGGTATTAGGCTGGAGAAGCTATAGGAAATCCACACATGCACAGGGTAAATATACAAACTTTGTGCATAGAGATCCCAAGTCAGGATTGAAGCCCAAAGCATTCTTTCTAAAATTACAAAATAAAACAATAATTTCACAGAAAACTAATGTACTTGTTGGTGGTAGTGAAACAGAACACTGTACATTCCTCCCCAAAGATCCCATTATATATACACATCAAATGTGCTGCATGTATTTCAAAGACATAAAAACACCTGATGTTTTACATAATGCCCCACATAAATGCACCCAGGGTGTTGTTTGTCTTCTGTCCTTCAGTTCAGATGTCCCAAAATGTTGTAGCAACGCACAGGTCTATTTGGGTCTTGGTGTGAATAAGAAGCAGAATTAAAATAAAAAAAAAACATTCAGTGATTGTATTAGCTGAGTTTCTTATTTAGAGTCTAGCCTCAAATAAAGTGAACAGTTCAGAGATTAAAGCTTTGAAACTCTTATTGACAATGCTGCTTCACACACTGTAGCTCTTCCAGTTTGGTGTGAGAAAGACTGTATCCACCAGCAGAAACTTAATCTAGGATTTAATCACTGAACGTTCAGTATTCTGATACTAAAAAGTTAAATCTCCCATTACCTCAGCACCTCGTCCTGTGCAGCAGCTTGTCCTCCGTCATGTTGATGAGACGTCTCTTAGTGTGCAGTGGAGACAGCCTGTTGGACGTTGGGACAGCTTCACGGTGCATCTGACAGATGAGGACCTCGCCACTCCTGACACTCAGAGGATCCTCAGCGGTGGGTCCAGAGAGTGCACCTTCAAAGGCCTCACCTCAGGACGCCGCTACACTGTTACCGTGAAAACTAGCAGCGGTAACCTGAGCAGCTCTGACTCCCTGACTGCATGGACCAGTACGTCTAAGGAACTTTATTGTTGTAAAGAGTGCTGCTTGACAGCTTACTGGGTTTATCATTTAATAATCTGCCACCATATGTCCTCACAGTACCAGCTCCAGTCAGCGGGCTGCAGGTTTTTAACCTCGACACCACCGACATCCTGCAGGCTCAATGGGAATTACCTTCTGGAGACAAAGACTCATATCAAGTTCTGCTGGTCCGTGACAGCAGTGTCATCAAGAATAAGAGTGTCGCAGGTAACATCAGCAGCATAAGCTTCCAGAACCTGAGACCAGGAGCACAGTACAAGGTGGTGGTCACCACCATCAGAGCCGGATACACTTCCAGACAGACTGTGGCCGAAGGACGCACAGGTAAGCTCACCAGTCACTGGCATGACAGTTCTATCAGTTGTCCTTTTCAAGAGAGTAGTGTAGGATTATTCACCCCCTGATGTGGAAGATGGGCCACACTGGAGTGGTTGCATGGCAGCATGAAGGTTGTGGGTTATTTTTGCATAGAGTTTGCATGTTGTTCTCTTTGCATGGGTGGGTTCTCTCCGTATACTCTAGTTTCCTCCCACCAGCAAAAAGCACTACTTTTAGGTGACCTGATTGATCTAAATTTCCCTTAGAGTTGCATTCACAAAGGTATGTTTAACTTCTCAACACAGCCAGGCTCTGTGAGGGAATCAGGTGGTATTATGGCATGTGGTTGAATTAGTGCCCTTGCTATAGCTCATTTCGACATTTGTGATGGCAGCGTTAATACAGACAAATCCAGCACAAATTATATTGCTTTCAAGTAGACATCTTTTCAAGGGACACTTGTGGATTTTTTTCTCAGGTTTATAGAAACTTGATTAAACTTAGCTATAACTGAGAAGAGCTATGGAAGAAGAGGCTGTGTGAATGACCTCAGATATGTTTTAAGTTGGCTATCATGGATAGGAGACACCAAAGACAGGACAATCACTCTGCACCGTTGAACACATTAAGATGTGTTTGTAAAAGGCAGCTGGAGGTCTTCATGTCTTGGTAGGATCATCAGCAATGATGGGTATTGACTTAAAGAAGAAACTTTTTCTGACACAGTTGTTCTTGGATAGTGATACAGGGTATCACTATCCAAGGAAGGGACAGATGATAATAAATGAAATGACGTTGATGAGAGCAACAATTAAATATTGGTTTCAGAGCCAATGTTTACAGATTTCAGGCTATTTTAATGGGTCTGAGGCGGCAGAGCAGACCAAAAAGAAAGACTCTCCTTCTGTTTGGGTTTGTTTTCAGCAGAAAGCCGGATATTATTGAAAAGCTGGAATTTGTGTGGAATTTTCAGGAAGTGTCGACAGGGACAGCAACACAAAAGAGCGTCCAGGTCTGTTGGTCAGAGACTTCCCGTCAGGAAGAGCCTTGGTGATTTGCCATTGAACTTTCTGAGAGTCTTCACATATCTCATTGTCCAAAATCCTCAGCATTCCTGATGAATAAAAGTGGAACCTTGGTCCCATCTTTTCTTTTCTGAGATCAATCTTGAAACCAATTGCTACAGTTTGATCTCTTTAAGATGATTAAACTCTTCCTTGCTTTCAGAAACTCTAACAGATACACACTGAAGTGGTTTGCATGACTGCGTGTCTGACTCAACCTCTCTTCTCCCAGTGCCAGCGGCGGTCACTGATGTTCGGGTCAGTAACAATGGTCGCACGGATTTCCTCACTGTGTCCTGGAATCAGGCTGCAGGTGAGGTGGACAGTTACTTGGTGACCCTGAGTGACCGTGACAGGACACTGCACACCCTGGCCGTGTCAAAGTTCAATCCTGGCTGCGTCTTCAACTCGCTGGTATCTGGACGCCTCTACAACATCTCCATCACCAGCTGCAGCGGTCGCTACAGAAACCACACCTTCATCCAAGGGAGAACACGTGAGCAGTTCTTCTCTGAGTCTGAGTCCTGGGTGTTTTTCTCCATGCAGGTTCTAACTTTGTCTGGATTCTGGAGTGTCTCTGTAAAGGCTTCCTGTTGTTTTGGCTTGGTTCTTGCTTGGTTTTAGTTGTCAGTGAAACAATGACAATTTGCCTTTGTCTCTTGGTGTTTTTGTTCACACTTTACTATATTTACCTGGAACCCAGCTTTCTCTGTCCTGGCTCTTATTATGTTTTTGTGAGTTCTGTCTGTCCCTTTTTTTAGTATTAATTATTTTTGTTTGGCTTCTGGCTATTACTGTCCTTCTTCTAATACTTTTATTCTGCATTATGAATGTCTCTATTAAGTGAATGTTCCACCTACTGATGAAAGTTTCTACCCAGATCTATTAAACAGGTTGTCACTTTTTTCTTTGACCCCTTAGAGCCCTCTAAGGTGCAGAACCCCACAGCCACTCACAGTGCTCGGGACGACTACCTGAAGGTTTATTGGCGTCATGCTGCTGGAGACCTTGACTTCTACCAGGTGTTCATCAAACACAACAACACCTTCCTGCAGAACAAGACAGTCCAGAAGACACAGAGTGAGTGTGTGTTCACTGGGCTAGTGCCAGGACGGCTCTACACAGTACTAGTGAACACCTGGAGTGGTTTTTATGAAGTCAGTGCATCCACCCATGGAAGAACCTGTGAGTAACTCCCCGACATTCATAAACTTTCTAAATATATGATGAAATGCTCTACAGGCTCTAACCACAGCTCCTGTGCTGTCCCTGCTTCAGTCCCAGCAGCGGTCCGATCTCTCAGTCTTGCAGGACGGGGGACTGAGGACCTTCGGGTGACGTGGTTGGCAGCTCCAGGTGATGTGGATCATTATGAGGTGCAGCTGCTGTTCAGTGACATGAAAGTGTTCCCACCTCTCACTCTGGGCACTGGGGTGGGGGAGTGTGTCTTGTCATCACTCACACCTGGGCGACTCTACAAGATCCTAGTTTCAACCTTCAGCGGTCCAAATCAGAGGACCCAGTTCATAGGGGGTCGAACAGGTAAAATTTAGACACAATTATAAAAAATATTGTGATGCAACCATAAAATCCCCTGCATTGCTTTTAATTTGGGCGCTTCGGTTCTGTCAGTTCCTAGTAAGGTGAAGAACATCCATGTTAACGGTGACAGCAGTCATCTGAAGGTGAGCTGGACACCTGGACCGGGTGATGTGGATGGATACTCAGTCTTTCTGTACAGAGAGAGTCGAGAACTGGCTGTCCAAGATGTCCACAAGCACCAAAATGAGGTGACGTTTGACTGGCTGCAGCCAGGTCAGCTGTACGGTGTTATGGTTCAGTCTTCAAGCGGAGAGCTGCTGAACAACAACACATCCACGGGACGCACAGGTGAGAGCAAGAAAGAGGCTTGCAACACACATTAGTTGGCCCTCAGTTAGCTATTACAGTTTTCTCTGTCCCATTGTCTGTAGTTTGTGCCTTCCCCTTTTTTCTTTCTGTCCTTCCTTCATCTCTCTTCACCACGTGCCCTTAAGTCATTCCTAGTTGTCCATCTGCTTTGTGTCTTGTCTCTCCTTTTCATGTTCTGCTTCCTTTCATTTCTTTCTTAAACTTGTCCCTTTTTTTCTTGTGCCATACAAGCATCCTTTGGTCCATTGTTTATTGTCTAGTTTCATTACTTACTTCCAAGTTTGCTCTTTCATGTTCTTTCTATCCATTGTGAAGTCCAGAATGTTTAGATGAAAAATCTGCAGTTACACCACTCTTTCTGTTTTGCAGTCCCGTTAGCAGTCACAGGTCTTCAGGTGGAGCCCGTCCTGAGCACCTGTAGCCTGCAAGTGAGCTGGCAAGAAGCTCTTGGTGTCTCTGATGGATACATCCTGCAGGTTCTGGACGAAAGAGGCAGCATTGTCGCCAATGCCTCACAGCCCGTCAGATTCACCCGGTACCGGTTTGATGGCCTTACGCCAGGGAAGAAGTATCGAATCCTGGTCCGGACCATCAGTGGGGGACTCCATAGCCAGGGAGTTAGTGCAGAAGCTCGAATATGTAAGACTTTTGCTTCTACTCACATAAATAGGGCACTGGTATCTGTCCAAGAAAAAATTACAAAATATACCAGGTCATTAAGTTCAAATCTGTTTTCTCCTCCATCAGACCCAGCATCTGTTACTGATCTGTCCATCAAAACCAGCAACACTGCCAGCCTGTCTTTCCAGTGGTCCCCACCAGAAGGAGACTTTCAGCATTATGAAGTCTTTTTGTATAAAAGTGATGAGTCTTTGCAGGAGAGTCGGCGGGTCCAACCCAGTACTAAGCAGTGCTCCTTCCAGGGTCTCAGACCTGGAGCGCTGTACAGACTAGAGATTGTGGTCCACAGTGGAGACCAAACCAACCAGACCTCCATGTGGGCAAGGACAGGTGAGATTTGACACCAATTCTCAGAGAGGACAGTGAGGCTGGGAGGTGATTGGACCAGAAGGCTGACCCAATGAACATTGTCCTTTTCAGTACCAGCACCTGTAGCATTTCTCAGGGCTCAGAGTGGAAACCAGTCTGACACTCTGTTGATCAACTGGGATCGCAAAGATGGTGACGTGACCGGATACCTGCTCTCACTCTACAGCCCTGATGGATCCCAGCAGGATGAGCATCAGTTGGGTTCTGAGGTCACAGAGTTCATATATTCAGGCCTGGTGCCAGGTCGGCAGTACCGAGTCGATGTGCAGAGTCTCAGTGGAGAGCTTCACAACCTAGCAAGCACTGTGGGTCGTACTGGTAAGACCAAATATCACGTTAGAAACAAATGGTTTCAGTCAGTAAAATTTCAAGAACATAAGAAAAATAGCTTATCAAGATTTTGGTTCTTATTATTGTGAGTGCTTCTGTCGTTATCTGCATATTTGGCATTATTTCTCAGGTTGAGTAGCACATCTAACATCTGGGTCCAGTGTTTCCCAAATGCAAAACGGGCAATGTAGATGGAGAAATTTCAACTGAGAAAAAAATTAATTAAAAACTTACAAAACAAGGACATTGGGTGGAACAAGGCCAGGAACAAAAAAAGGGACCTGGTTGCAGGAAGGTATGAGAGAATCCAGTGATGAGTGAATGAAGGAGACATGACTAAATATTGGGAGTTAGATTGCTGGAACAATGGACTGGGCCTAATTACTAACAAAATGTAGCTGAGAGCGCAGAGCCAAAGGCAGGCTGAGGGAGAGAGAGAGGTGACACAGAAGAGCAAAGAGGAGGAAACAGTGGCAGCTTGGAAAACATAAATCTAACTTTAACAAAGGAAAACGAAACAAAGAAAATAGTCAACATGATCTAACTTGAATAACTAAGAACAGACTTATCTCAAGTAAACCAGAAACAAGCTAATCGAATAAAAGAGCGACAAAGGCAAGACACAACAAATTATCAAAAATTATTAGAAAAAACTAAACCCTACATCCTGACAGATTTTTAACTCTAGATGCCATGTTTTGTTCTTTCCATAGCACAACAGCTTTGATTTAGTTCTGCTTTGGTTAACTTTTGACTTGTTTAATTTTACATCTTACAACATTTAACATTAACACCTATTTTAGCTAAACTTCAGTGAATTTGATTAAAAAAAAATAAAAAAATCTATCTAATTGGCAGCTTAAATTGATGTGTCTCCCCTTTTTGCTTTCTTTCTGGACCCATCTTGTGACAAAGTTACGGCCTGTTGTGGCAGAAACACTAGTTTTGACAATGATATAGGATGTAAAACAAAATCTAACCTAAATAGCCTAAAGTTTATTCAAATCTGGACCAAAGAAGAACTAAGCCAAAATTAAACATCAATGACTAGAACTAGAACAAATGTCTAGACCTCCTACTGTTAAGAGAGCGAAGATGGTCTATATATACACTCCTGATCAAAATCTTAAGACCAGTCAAAAAATTGCAAGAATTTGCATTTAGCATTATTGGATCTTAAGAAGGTTCTAAGTAGAGCTTCACAATGTTAAAAGAAGAAATCAGCATAAGAGACAAAAACATTTGAGCGGGGAATTAATTGAAAACTGCATTTATACTCAAACATGATTTTTTCAGCTGATCAAAAGTTTAAGACCATAGCTCAAAAAACCTCCAAAACCCCCCAAAACAGAAATCAAAGTGCCAAAAAAAGGACTCAGTAATGAGTAGCTCCACCATTCTTGTTGACGTCAAACAATCGTTTAGGCATGCTTGATGCCAGTGTTTCCAGGAGGCTAGTGGGAACATTGCTCCAAGTGTTGAAAATGGCTTCACGAAGGGCATCCACTGTCTGGAACTGATGTCCATTTTCGTAAACTTCCCTTGCCATCCATCCCCAAATGTTCTCAATTGGGTTTAGATCCGGGGAACATGCAGGATGGTCCAAAAGAGTGATGTTATTCTCTTGGAAGAACTGCTTTGTCAGGCGGGCGTTGTGAACTGCAGCATTGTCTTGTTGAAAAACCCAATCATTACCACACAGACGAGGGCCCTCAGTCATGAGGGATGCCCGCTGCAACATCTCCACATAGCCAGCTGCTGTTTGACGCCCCTGCACAACCTGAAGCTCCATTGTTCCATTGAAGGAAAACGCACCCCAAATCATGATGGCGCCCCCACCACTGTGCCGTGTAGAAAACATCTCAGGTGGGATCTCCCTGTCATGCCAGTAAAGTTGGAAGCCATCAGGATCATCAAGCCAAAACTTTTTCTCATCAGAGAAGACAACTTTCTTCCACCTTTCAATGTCCCATGTTTGGTGCACCCTTGCAAAGTCCAAACGGGTAATTCTGTGGAGTTGAAGAAGACGTGGCCTTTGAAGACGTTTTTTGTTTCTGAAGCCCTTCCCTTGCAGATGCCGTCTGATGGTTATCGGGCTGCAGTCGGCACCAGTAATGGCTTTAATTTGGGTAGAGGATCGTCCCTTGTCTTGATGGACAGCCAATCGGATCCTGCGGTTCAGAGCTGGTGAAATTTTTTTGGGTCTACCGCTTGACTTTTTTGTTCCATAACCCTCAGGATCATTTAAAAAATGCAAAATGACTGTCTTACTGCGTCCAACCTCAGCAGCAATGGCACGTTGTGAGAGGCCTTGCTTATGCAGCTCAACAATCCTGCCACGTTCAAAGTCAGTGAATTTTTTTGCTTTTGCCATCTGGAGGTCTTGACAGTGTAAAGACTTCACAGAACATGACATGGAATCCAGATTTTTGCACAGCTTTTGGCTTTTAAAGACTATGGTCTTAAACTTTTGATCAGCTGAAAAAATCATGTTTGAGTGTAAATGCAGTTTTCAGAAAATTCCCTGCTCAAATGTTTTTGTCTCTTGCACTAATATTTTCTTTTAACATTGTGAAGCTCTACTTAGAATCTTCTTAAGATTCAATAGTGCAAAATGCAAATTCTTGCAATTTTTTGACTGGTCTTAAGATTTTGATCAGGAGTGTATATATATATATATAGGGAACAGTGTGCTGCCTTTGTTTGTTTGTTTCTCTTCCTTTCTACCTTTCGATCTTTCTCTGTCATTTCTTTCAAAGTTACTTGCTCCAGATCAAAGTCAAGAAAGGACTCTAAAATATTTGTCCTCAAACATTTCATCTGACTTACAGCTCCAAAACCTCCTTCCTCGTTCTTGTTTGGGGGAGTCACCAACACCTCCCTGGAGGTCACCTGGAGTGGTCCAGTAGGTTCTGATTATGATGACTTCGACCTGCAGTGGACTCCTAAGGACCAGCTGTCTGTTATCAACCCGTACCACAGCCGAACATCAGGCAGTCGCATCCTAAAAGGGATGTTCCCAGGACGACTTTACACCTTCAGCCTTCGAACTGTCAGTGGGGCGACGCAGCCCGGTGCCACCTACAGCACTCCCATCCAAAAGAGTATTCGAACCAGTAGGTGGCAGCATTACACTTTTTTTCCCAAGAAATTGCAGCTAATTTGGGTATTGCTACATCAGAAATGTGTCTGATGACACATGAACAAATTTCCAGGTGAGAAGAATTAGCAATGGAAGAGTAACTGATTTCAAAGTGATCAATGCCTAATCTTCAATCTAATATATATATATATATATATATATATATATATATATTGAAACAGCTCAGCCTGTTTTCAAGCAACGCAGCATCACCTGATCTGAGGTTTTTTGCTTCTGCAGAGCCAGAGCGAGTCCATAGCCTCCACTGTCGACCACAGAGCTCTACCTCTATCTCCTGTTCTTGGGGACCTCCACGAGCTGACTATGATTCCTACACCATTGAATGTCTTCACCAGGACACTCACACCCTGGTCTACTCACGCCGTACAAGTCGAGAGTCCACCAGTTATGTTATCACCCAGCTTGAGCCCCACAAACGTTACACCATCTCTGTGAAGGTCATTTCTGACGGGACGACCAGCGAGGAGGCAGAGGACAGCGTAGTCACCATGATAGACCGTAAGACAGAATTAAGCTTCGCATGTCTGCGAGAGGGAGGGTGGATAAGCTAACCAGATTCATTTTTTGTTATGGTTTCTATAGGTCCTCCTCTGCCCCCACTGACTACCCGGGTCAGTGACAAGTCCACTTTGGTCACAAAGTCCTCAATATCATTCCAGTTTAATTGTAGCTGGTTCAGTGATGTCAATGGAGCAGTGAGGTTCTTTACTGTGGTTGTGACTGAATCTGAAGGTGAGCATGACCAAAACCCATCTTTAATTCTGACCAGAAACTGTTTAGGTCAGTGGATTAGGTTCTAACAATGAAACAGATATATTTTGATTTCATCTCATGTGACTTTGCTGAGTTATAGTTTGACACTCTACTAGTTGTTCTAGTTCTAGTTCTAGTAGTTCTAGCTAAACACTGATTATTTAATGTGTAATTTAACTCTTAAAGGTCTTACCTGCTCACGAGTCTTAACATGCAACCTCTGGCCCTTCCTTGTAGGTGTCAATGATTTGCAGCCAGACCATAATCACCCTCTGCCCTCCTACCTGGACTACAGACACAACAGCTCAGTTAAGTCCTACCAGACCAGCTACTTTCCCAGCCTCTGTTCAGATGGATTAGACAGCAGCATTCAGATCTATAACATCAGCCTTGGGACTGGGATGGACTCTCTAGGGGGTCCATGTGACCACAAAGACCCAAGTCATGCAGAGTCCAGCAGAGGCCTTATCTACTTCTGTGATGGACCTCTGAAGTCAAAGACTTCATACAGGTACTGAACACAAACAAACAGGTCAGACTATAAATAATCTGTTTCCACGTTTCTCTGTCTGGTGTCTCGGCCAATCCCATTATTCAGCAGTTCATAAAGTAAGAACTGAAAAAGGTTTAGTTTGTCTTGAGCTGACTGAGAATTAGTAAGAATCCATTGTTGTTCACTGTTGACCCTAGTGTCTTGTCTTTTTGCTCCTCTCAGGATCAGCATCCGAGCCTTCACACAGCTGTTTGATGAAGAAACTACAAATTCTAGATTAGCTTCGCCTCTCTTCACTGACACCTTCTTATCTCTGCCCATCATCACGGAGACAGGTCAGTCCAAATTTCACTGGCTACTAAAGATTTAAAACTTCCTTAGCACAGATTTTTTTTTTTAATGAAACAGACAGAGTTTGGACTGGAGATGATGTCAAAATACTGAGATACTGCATGGATTTATTTTATATTTCTCCTGCAGAACCTCTGAGCGGTGTCATTGAAGGCATCAGTGCCGGACTTTTCCTCATCCTCATGATAGTTGCCGTCACTGCTTTCCTCATTTGCAGACACAAGGCTCGCAAATTGTGAGTATCTATAGAAAAGGTTGTTGTGTAATATTTACCTAGTTCCATTTTTGTAGATTTTATCCATTTTGTATTTCTATCTATCTATGTATAGATAGAAATACAACACCTGTGTAACAGGTGCATGGCTCATGTTTAGCACCTACTAATGTCAACCAAAATGAAAGGTGTTGTTGACGATGTTTCCATCAGGGTGGAGGAGAGACCTGATGTCAGGAGATGTATAAGGAGAGAGAGGTCATCAGTAGGAGTCCAGATGGGAGTCAGAGGGTAGGAACCAATCAATAAACAAGCGCTGTTATGGATGATGACCAAAACAGAATGTAGTTCCGTCTACAGCCACTAGATGGTACCACAGCTAAACACGGAGAAATTTTAAACATTTAAATTCATCCACTGTCATTCGATTTATTAATGATGCTATGGAGGAGAGAAAAAAAGAAATACCATAGATAGATTGATACCTCAGTATATTGATGGATTGATTGATTTTTGGTGAAAACTTTTGCACAACCTAACGTTTAGTTTGGAAAATAATCTAATGAAAGCAGAAATGGACCGATCAATCAGTTTTCTTCTAAAAGATTAAATACGTTTTCAGCAATACTTATCAAAGATCTATTAAACTAACAGTTAAACTAATGCCTCTTCATCTTGTTCCCCAGCAGCAGGAGAATCTCCAGGTGAGATGTCCTGATGACTTTAATTTCTTTTTTTGTTTGTTTGTTTGTTTGTTTGTTTTTAAATTTTTGGTGATTTCTCCTTGCAGTTACAAGTTTCATTTGTTGTTTTCAGTCCCATCAAGATCCTGAATTTTGAATCTCACTACAACAAACTCCTGGCCGACTCCAGCTATCTCCTGTCTGAAGAGTACGAGGTACATCTTCCGTTCAGCTGAAACAAGGAGCTGTTTCAGCTTTAGGAACCAGTTTAAGTTTAAAATATGAGTCTGAATCAGTGGCTCTCCAGGTTGCCTCAGGTTCTCCTGTTCCTATTTCTCTCGTTGGTATTGAAACCTGCTTTGCTCCAGAGCAGTTCGGGTTTCATGTCAAGAGGTTTCTTGTATATGAAAGAAGCATCTTCTGCACAGATGTTTGTTCGATTTGTTAGAAAAAGGTATTTCCTGTTCATGATTATGAGTGGTCATCTGAGCGAGAACGGATCCAGAGTCAGAAAACCTGACTCTGGATCGTTGACCTAAGGAGAGCTTTTCGGATTAGTTGACAACATATTCAGGAGATAACTTGCTGAACCCACCGAGTTCAGACTCCTGGTTTTTCCACTCATCTGTCTGAGTAAAAGCTTTGCAAGCAACTGAGGAATAGTTCTAATTTTTTGTTGCTGTAAATATGCCATGGTTCTTTCATTTTCCTCAACAGGACCTGAAAGATGTTGGCCGTAATCAACCACTGGACTCTGCTCTGCTGCCTGAGAACCGTGGGAAGAACCGATACAACAACATCTTGCCCTGTGAGTGATTTTTCTTTTAGCCCAACTGACCCATTTGTGTCTCCGTCTCACCGTCTCTGTTCTCGCTCTCTACAGATGACTCAACGAGGGTCAAGCTGTCTTACGTGGATGATGATCCCTGTTCAGACTACATCAATGCCAGCTATATCCCAGTGAGACACCAGTACCCTCCCAACATTTAAATTTTGTTCAGAACCCCTTTGGTTCTCTTTGGTTAGGGATTGGTTTTAGACTAAGACTTATGCTCCGTCTTTATGGCTGTATTTTGATTAACTTGATTTTCCACTTGCGGTTATTGATTGAGTTCTAGATGCTACTTTTGAACTTTGGCTTAATTTGGGTTTGGACCAGCTGTGATTATGTGGTTTTGTTTCAACTGGTTTTGTACTTGTGCATATTGGTTTTGATGAGATTTGGACTTGTTCCTGGCTTGGCTTAAACTGGTTATGGAGTTAAGTCTTGAGCTTTGATTTAGACTTGGATTTTGATTGGTTTAACACTGTAATTTATGTTATGAGCCAGTTTTTTTTATTAATTTGTACACTGGTTTTTGAAAGTATTTGTACTGAATGTTGACTTGGTTTACACTTTTGAATAAGAATTTGACCTAAGACTGAACTTGTTTGGATTCAATATCAGAATGAGTATCTCTGGTTCCCTGCATGTAAACATGAACTTGAACTTGAATTTGGTCATATAACATTCTACAGTTCAGCCTGTTTTGAGACACGAGGAATTCTTTCTTCTCATCCCGTTTCAAAGCTGCTTTTGCTCCAACTACCTATTTCAACAGAACTGAGTGTTTGGTTTTCTTTGTGTTTTTAGGGTAACAATTTCCGCCGGGAGTATATTGCCACACAGGGACCCCTTCCAGGAACAAAGGATGACTTCTGGAAGATGGTGTGGGAGCAGAACGTCCATAATGTGGTCATGGTCACTCAGTGTGTGGAGAAAGGCAGGGTGAGTATGAGATGAGTGCTGTTGTATCTGAAGGAGTTACTGAGACTAAGACTTATGCTCCGTCTTTATGGCTGTATCTGAAGGAGTTACCGAGACTCTCCTTTGGCCGCCTGTGCTTAAAAGATTTGATGTTTTCTCCCTTATTCCCCATCCAGGTGAAGTGTGATCACTATTGGCCTTTTGATCAGGATCCTCTGTACTACGGAGATCTCATAGTTCAGATGCTGTCAGAGTCGGTTCTTCCAGAGTGGACGATCCGAGAGTTCAGAATCTGCAGCGTATGTTCCCCCAGCAGGAACAACATTCTCATTCTCTGTCACTGAGTGAGGTCAGACAATAATGTGATGTTTCTATGTGCTCAGGAGCAGCAGTTGAGTTTCGTCCGCCTCGTTCGGCAGTTTCACTACACAGTGTGGCCCGATCATGGAGTTCCAGAGAGCACACAGTCGCTCATACAGTTTGTTCGAACCGTCCGTGACTACGTCAACAGAACTCCTGGTTCTGGTCCCACTGTGGTCCATTGCAGGTAAAAAAAAAAAATGCTTTGAAATTAAAGGGCAGCTTCTCCAAAAAAATCACCTTCTGTCTCTCTTATGAACAAAATAAATTCAATATGAAGCTTTTTAAATGATGAGTTTGATCAGCGTGCAAAATTCTGACACCTGGTTTACCTTGACACATCTTTGCAGCACTCACATAACTTGCAGTGGGATAAATTTCATTTAAGAGTCAGAATGTAGATGAACTTTAGTATGCTTTCATCTTAAAGTTTTAACGCTTTCAGCTGCAAACATCTCATATCTCCACCCAACTTGTTGGTGTACCCGAGGTATAACACCTTGGTTTACTGACCGTTACTTATTCTTACTTTTTCACAACTTTTATCTAAGTCTGCTGTGTGTGTTTTAGTGCCGGAGTGGGGCGAACTGGAACCTTCATCGTCCTGGATCGGGTGCTGCAGCAGCTGGACACAAAGGACACAGCGGACATATACGGCGTTGTCTTTGACCTACGCCTCCACCGGTCACACATGGTGCAGACTGAGGTAGGTCCGATGCATCCTAGGATTAAGGACGCCCATTATTGTGCAGTTGTACTGATAAAAAGTGATTGCTTTTAGTAAAGTTAAGTATTTCACCATAATTAAATGGAAAATAAAATAAAGATGAGAAAACTCAAAAAAAAAAAGTTTGTTACAGAGCGGTTTGCAGTCCTACTGCTAAATTCCCTCGTATACTACCTAGGAACTAAGGACCTTTTCAGCTTAATGGAGCGGTATTTTCTACAGACAGCAGGAGGTTTCGGACCTTTTGAGTAAATGGACATGAATCTTAGAAAATATTCATTTTCAGCAAATCTGCATGAAAATTGTTTCCCAAAAAAGGGTTCAATGAGACCATGTCTCTCTTAGACCTGTCTGCAGATGCAATGAAGTAGCTTAGAGATGGTAAAATCTGGGTGATCTCCTGCAGATCTTCTCCACTACTCCACTAATGTACTAAATTTAGCAATTCAATTCTGAGTAAAGCTTAAATTCCCCCACAGCTCTGCTTTGGTCATTCATACTGTTTCTAACACAAACCTCCTCTCGGACCAGGGCCAGTACTTGTACTTGCATCAGTGCATTCGGGATGTCCTCAGAGCCCGGAAGCTGCGCAGTGAACAGGAGAGCCTCGGTCACCCCATCCTGAGAATGTGAATCCCACCTGGCAGAGAGGTGAGTAAGACACAAGTGATGGCGTGTTTTATCAATAAGCATCAGAGGAATCACTAATCGGAGGTGTTGGTCCTTTCCCACAGAGACGCTGTGCTTGTACTGCCTGCGGATTTACTGTTGAGCTAACAAAAAAAAACACAGCCATTTATTTTTCTATCAGTGTCCATATTTTATTCTGCAGATTTATGATAATTTATGTAACGTGAACTGGAGTGTGTCTGTGGTTGTACTTTGTGTTTCTGTGTCACAATGAAGCTGTGGGTGGAAACAGCCTCAGGAGACTGAACATTTTGATCAGCTTCGATCACCAGTGCACCCTCCAGCTACTAATCATTTGTTCAGACAACAGCAGAGTCAGCTCCTCATTGAACGTGTTTATGCAGATGAACAGCAGTACCTGTATGTTACCTGTTCACCTTCTTCTACCTTAACTTGTAACTGGAGATCTGCTTAAAGACATTACTGTACTTGTAGAGGTTCTGTACCTGAATGTGAGCCTGTGCTTGTACCTAAACATATCTGTCTGTGATCAGCTCATTAAACACACAGAACATGTACAATTACCTGATTTCTGTGTTTATTGATTCAAACTGATTCAAATCTGCGCCAACCAGAGACATAAAACTAGGCAACTCACCATCAACATGTCAAAAACACAGTTACAGCACTTTCACAATGCTGCAAAACACTCCCATGATGGGCCAAAACACCGTAGCTGCACTGCAGCCACTGTACAAAAATCGCTTTACATCACTCTAGCATCTCTAACCATCTTACAACACTGGAACGGCTATGTAACAACTTCAAAACAATGATACAAGAAATGTAATAACACTGAGTAACCCAGAATCAACAGATACAAAGTTGCAGTCTATGACAGCACTCTAGAAATGTTTTATTAAAATAGAAAATAAAAGCAACAGGAACAAAAAGATAACACTGAAAAAACTTTGTAACAACTTCAGCTCTGTAAACTTGGTGTATCAACACTTCATCAATGCTGCATTAGTGCTGCAAAATTTACATAACGGCATTGGAAAAATACTGCAGCAACTATTTATCAACTGACAATGTTACATTAACTCCACAGCTGCCAAACGATGTCAAGAAAGGAACAGTTCGGCAACAAAAATGCAACAACACTTTAACATGCTATACCATAACTGCACAGGTTGTATTCCACCACTGTAAAAATGCTGTCACAACACTGCAGCATCCCTGTAGCTGTTCTGCAGCAACACGGCAGCAAAACTGCAAAAATGTCCCAACACTTTAAGAATGCACAAATAATGCAACACTGTAAAAACACTGCAACAACTCTAAAACAACATTGAATCAACAAAGCAACTGCAATGAAAATGCTGTAAAAACACTGTAATAGCCCTGCAACCACTCCTTAACAACGTTCCATTGGCACACCAAAAATGCTCCAGTAGAATGGTAGCAACCCTGAAAAAACACTGTGAAACCACTGCAACAATACTTTAAGACTACTCTAACAAATAATTTACGTATTTGTACAACAAAGCTGTGATAACACTGCAACAACTCAGCAAAGCTACTACAATAATGCCACAAAACTAAACCAATAGAATTTGACACTAAAAGGAAAACAATCTACAACACATTGTATCACCTTGCACTTTTCCCTGGAACAACACAGTAAAAATGATGTAACACTACAAAAACATTTTACCAATTATAAAACACAGAGACAAACAATGGAAATGCGCAACAGCAAAACTGTAATGACACCACACTCTGCACGAAGGAGTTGTAAAAGTACAATTAGCAGAAGTGCATGACGTCTGTTATGTGAAAAGGCTTGTCCCACATGTTTGGTTTGTTGTTTGTTGTGCTTCTGATGCATGTTACGTTGATAGTTATTATGTCCCTATTGCATGTCATTGTGAATCCTTTGTTCTGGTGTGTCTGTGACTATTATATAAATGTGGGTTTATGTGGTATTTTCTCTGCTGTGTCACACTGTGAGTCTGTTTTGGTTTTGAAATACAGTTGCATTACTAACTCTTCTGTGTGATTGTGCGTTATTGTTGATTTGTTGTCTGCTACTGGGTCTATGTTGTGTTATTATGAGTCTGACTTGTGATATGTCGGGAGTCCGGTATGTTATTCTGTCTACTCTGTGTTATAGTAAGTCTGTTGTGAGTCATTGCGTCTCTGTTGTGTGAGTCTGTTTTGTCCTAGGCCCTTACCCTATTCTCTGCGCATGCGCTTCAGGCCGTTGCAGAGCCGGAAGTTGAGCAGTGATTTAGCCCCACAGACAGCTAGCAGCGGAAAGATTTAGCGAGTTCACAAAACTTATTTTTTTAGGCAGAAAAAGTTATTTTCGAAGGAACCTCGGAACTCACAGTGACCCACTACGGACTCCCGATGGATTGTGACCGATTCTGGTCCTTTATTTCCCGTGAAGAGGAGCGCTAGCGGCCTTTGAAAGAAGTTGTGATTGTTTTTTGGCGCTCCAGCAGCGAACGCTAGCTGCTAACTGCTAACGCTTTCTGGACGAACAGAACCGAGCTGCTGGAGATCCAAAAGGCTCGAACAGAACACAGCTCCTTCTCCGCCATCCGGTGGTCCAGAAGGCTCGGATGCTGGAAGTCCCTCCGCTGACTTACGCCGGTGAGTTTGAACTGAAGCACCCCAGGTTCACTAGCTATTGCTAAGAAGCTGCTGCTTACTAGCTGCCATTACAGAAACAAATCTGGGAAGTTTCATCTGCGTGACCAGAATCCCTCAAACTAACCCAGCTTTGTGTACTGGTCACACCTGGCCAGCAAAGGCTAGTGAGGCTACTTAATGGTACCGAAACACGGAATATACCGTGCATTTGCACGGACAAAACCAATTATAGTCAAAAGAAAATCCGAACACCCGCACTGATAAATAACCTGTCAGTGACTCAAAGCTGCTGGCTGATTGATTGATTTACTGGCTGATTGATTGATTTACTGGCTGATTGATTGATTTACTGACTGATTGATCCATAGGTGATGAATGGCTGATACTGGCGTTGGTATGACGTCTCAGTGACCTGGTCAACTACCTCAAACTACAAGCAGCTGCTCCTTCTTAATTCACTTTATTTATGGAAGCAATAATCTATGATCAAATCAGATGCTATGGATTTGGATCCAATTTTGAAAACGAGAGCGTTTTAGTCAGTGAAAGGGGAAAAAAGTAACATTCTTTTTTTGTTGTTGATTTATGGAATTGTTTACAGGTTTTTGACGAATTGTAAATCATTTTAGATGATTTTTGCAGGAGAAAATAATCACAAAGAAACTTAAATATGATTACAATTTAGGTTATCTTTATAATCACGCATGCTTTTGTATGTTGGAATAAAGATGCATGATGATGGTTGTGCAAACTAACAACTTAAGCTGAAAGAGCATTAAAATAACTTAATAATGACACCAAGATCATGCAAGTTAAAAGTAAGATGTTGTGGTTTAATTTGCCCCCCTGTTTACACTAAAATCAGTGACAGAGTCACAAAGAATTAGTTTTGAAACTTTTGACTAGAAAAACTGCCCTGACATTTTCAACAAATAATCTTTGAATCTTCTGCCATTTATTTTGACAGGTAAATTTTAAAAAATTTACTTGTTGTGCTTTTATTCAACTCAAAGGTCACATTTGTTTCTTTAATATCTTCACCCTATAGGTATAGATCATATACTGCTGTGTAACAGATGTCGAAATTGTATTAATTTTAAATTGAATATCATTACAGTTAATCCCTGAATGTAAATCACACTGTTTCACATTTTCTTATGGACTTATGTAAATTTTAAGCATTTGCTCAGAAATGTAATGTGGTGATGTATTTAGGGACTTGAACATTAATTGGCACACATCCACTTATTTCAGGTGACTCAGGCGTGGTTTTGTTGAAAAACGTACTAATCCCTGATTATGTCGCTAATAGAAATGAATGAAATGGATAATAATTACACTATGGGCGTGTTTATGTTATTATTGAGAGTTCTTGAAACCTTGCCATGGTAAATTAAAGGCTGTGTTTGAAGGGGGCGACACCCCCAGTAGCATAATGTCAAATCGAGTGATTGGAGCTCAACCTGCAGCCGCAGACTGACTCATACTGACAGAGCCACTATAAGTCAGATGCTTTCTGTAGATGTGACTGAAGTCGATTAACCTTAAATGCTGTGTACACTTGAAATAATCAATGGAACCGAAAGATTTGAAGGAGAAGACTTTAGGGAGTTTCCCTAACTTCTTCCATTAAATATATTTATCACGCTCTCATGCAGGTGAGATAGAAAAATGAAAGACATCAGCTCAAAATGTTGTCTTATTATTTGAGAAGTTTGTCAGAATGAATTAACAAATGTTTCAAATGGAGTTTTTGTAGTTTTAGTTTTAATTATTAAGTTGTTATTGAAAGAGTTAAGTGTTGGTTGTCTGCTCAAGGTTGTAAGACAAATTGAAAGCAAGGTTCAGGACGCAGGGTCATATTGATTATGAGGTGACACTTGATCACTGGATAAAGGAAAACTTGTCCTTGCTAAAGTCAGTATTTTTTTTCTCCATGAATATGACAGCCCTTAATCTTTCTGTGGATTTTAGCATCGAAGTAACTAAAATCTATGATAGCAAAGAGAAGAGGACTGGAAAAGTAAATCCAAGAAGTTGGATTTATCAAGAGTTTGAATGCATTGAACATAAGATAAGATGAGACAAATAGGATATATGTGAAAAAATAGTCTGCTTGACCAGATTCATTACAGGTTGGCACATTTCTTCAATCTAAAATCCATCTATGGATGTTTCTTTTGAAGCAATGTAATAATGAAATTAATAATCCGATTACTGGTGAAACTGGCTCAGATCATAAACTCCCTGCATGTCTGTCACTTAGGGATAAATATCCGCATTTTCAGGCCGGTGTCTTGATTTTAAAAACCTACTCAAGAACATGTTGCAAAACTTCTCAAATATTTGGTTTACTTCAGAGGAGATTCTGCACCAATTTGTAATGAGATGGAAGAAATTGACAGGCTGAATTTGTTTTATCTGTGTCTGCTACTTTCTCCATCTTATCTAAACCCTGGCTGGCCAGAAAGCCAGTTTGATGTCTCACTATTCCACCTAAACCCAGGACTTCCAGTAAAAGTTTGATGCTCTCTGTGGGTTTCTAAAGAAAATCAAACACCAGGAAGATGGTTTATTTCCTCAAATCTATTATTTATTCTTGCGTAAAGATGGATGAATATCACCACTCTGATTTATGAACCGTGTTAGATAGCATCCTTTGTTTTTGAATGCTTGTCCCTTGTATACAGATTATCTCAATTCTGCTTAGGCTCCTATTAACAAACACCAACTGATTAAACACCTGACAGACTTAATGAGAGGAATGAAAACCAGCACTTTAGTCAGGATTTCTAAACACCAGCTGGTGATGTGGAATAACCCTACAAAGTTTGAGTTGCAAACAGTGTTTCGGTCAGGATTTAGAAAATCCAGCTGCTACTTGTGAATTATCACTACAGCCTGTTCAGTTCATTTCTGATTGATTTATAAACATGATATTAAAAACCCCAACAATGATTGTGTTGTATTTAGTATGTGGTTTTGATATTAAACAACAGGAAGATTAAATTTGATTTGATTCACCTTTTTATGTGTGCTGCAACTCATAAAAAGGTGAGTTGTTGGCGCTGTAAATGTTGTTGGCTTGCATATGGAATTTACAGCATTTTTTGGCTTGATCTCTGACAAGATTTATTCTTAAAAGGCTTTCTGAAAATGGATAGAACTGAATTATAAGAAAACCAATCATACTGGGCGAGGAACGTCTCATTACTGAAATAATTCTGTCCCGGTTTGATCCACAGAGCTGCTGTTCCTCCCTGCAGACCCACTAAAGCTCTGATGATGGAAGCAGATCTGCTGGAGGCTGGATCTAGGTGAGTTCTCCAGCAGTGTGACGCTACGATGGCCTCTCGGGTTCCCCACTAAAGGTTTCCTCTGTCCCAGACATCAGATGGTGCTCTGAAGAAGCCATGGGTAGCTGCTTAAGCTGTCCAGAGAAAGAGTCAGTTCCAGATAATCATCAGAGTAAATTCAAGGTGAGTTCCTGCCTCTACCTGCCCGCTTCCCCGTCCACGCCCTCACTTACTCACTAATGACCGTCCCACAGTCTTATTTCACAACCCGCGGTTCCTTCTCTCCTGTTCTACCAGTGAGAGCCAGACATGTTTAAGCTGTTCTCATTATTAGGTGGATAGAGCAGGTGAGTCACCTGGAGCTGATTCGTTAACGGAACGGCATTATAAATCAGTTTTCCTGCATTAACAGCTGATTAGTGTGAAGAAAGTAGCTGTGACAACTCATGTCGAGCCAGCAAACATGGAGTTGCTTCAGTTATGTTCCTGACATCAAATGTTCTTCATCGGTGGATGATTTAGCGTGTTTGATGCCTTTGGAGTTCAGATGAACTTTACACAAGCTGCAGCTTCGAGCTGTTGTCTCTGACGGTTCACACAGGCTGTTTTTGAGCTATCTCAGTATTTCTATTTTGGATATGAATTGGTAACCAATGTTCTTCACATGGTGTCCCTCTACTTGTATTTACATCCCTCAGATGAGTGTGAAAGTGTTTGGTGATGGAAAGAAAATTAACTTTTGAAAGTTTGAGATTCTTCAACATTTTTAAAATAATTCAACCTTTTAAAAACTCATTTTTATTTGCTATAATATTTGGGTTGAAACAATGAAACTGATGGACAAACGGTTACATCATCACTAATGTGTTAAAGGTGGAGTCCCTTTCATATTATAGATTTGTATAGGACTGGATGATATGGCTGAAAAATGGAAGTTACATATGTAACTATGGTTCTATGAATCCCTGATGACTGCCAGAGGGCGGTACTGAAAGCGCTGAACGTTCCCGTCACACATGTGTCGTTTGAGCAATAATCCAAATAAAACTGGGAAAGGGGGCAAAAAAGGTTCCTGTCACCAGTCAAAGTGATAATAAAGCGCTTGTAAGGTCGGCTACAATTGGGAGAAGGGTCAAGATGCCACTGTCACCAATTAAAGCAAAATGTCAAACTTAGAAAGGCTAACACTGTTAGCTAAGCTCCAACATCTGTACAAAAACAGTGGTTATAAGCTGCAAGTTGGGAAAGAAGGCGTAAACGTTGTCATCCCCAACAAATAGTACCTTGAACGAAGATCCGTCGCTGCCCTAGGAGGGCGGTACTTTGGCCAACAGGCAGTCAGGTGTTCAATGACAGTGAAAAGATCCAGAAATCCAAAAGGCCAATGCCATACAAAGCAAACCGCACGCGAGAAGAAAAGAGGAACAGAGATTCGGATGACGTCATACTCTATAGCCTCTGATTGATCATCCAAAATGTGACGGGTGTGACTCCATTGATGTTATTGCTCGAGCAGCACATGCGCAAAGGGAACATTCAGAGCTTTCAGCACCACCCTCTGGCGGTCAGTAGGTATGAAATGGAACTTACCATGACATGAGTGCATCATATCAGTCAAGATCTGTAATTATTGATGAGTTTTTTGCCAGACTGGTGGCATGATCTTTGCTGTTGTATCTCTGCAGTTTTCTCTCCATGCTGTTGTTTAAGTGGTTTTAGATGCAGCAGTGAAAGCTGAAACTGCTGCTGCACAAGTTACTCAACAGGTTGTTGCTAGCTAACCGAGGAGTGAGTTAGTGCAGAAGTTCTGCTGTTCTGGATTGGACTTCAGTGAATATCCTATATATTGAATAATCCATCAGATGTATCATCTATTGATATAGATCTATTGATATTGATCAATAGATCAATAGATTCAGTTCTGTTGATCAATATAGTTCCCACCTTTGACAGGAAGTGGAGCTTTGGGATGTTCTGCACTCTTATTTGTCTAAGTGGGTTGACTGTCAGACTCCCACTTGTCAAACTGCCTTTTGTGTTGGGACCAATCAGATGTGCAGTCAGAGGCAGGAATGATGGCTCTGATTGTGATGTGATGTGCTTCTTTCATTATTTCAGATTGTTCTGGAACACCTTACATGTCTGGGACATGTAAGGTGTAACATTCGTCTCATGACTTTACCATGCACACTGCAAACGCTTTGAAAACAGTCAGGCACTTATTTGTGTTTAGTACCACAACTAGAAGTGGCACAAAATAGATTTTTCTGCGTCTAAAGATCAGAATTGGACTTTTTAGACTGCAGTGAGAAAGTCTGATATGGACAAAAAAAATCTGATTTGGGTCGCATTTGCCTGCTGTGTCAATGTATTCAGTAGCCATTGAGTCCTATAATATGAACTGGTCTCAGCTCAAAAAGCTTTAACAGGTTTTTCCTTCTTGTTCAGATGACATATCTTCAAAACAAAATAAATATAACTATCTGATGTTGAGTTCTGCAACAAATCAACATGATGATAACATTTTCGTTCTTTGTTTCTGTGAAATCGCTGGATGCTAGAACTGCTCATCTCTGCAAAGTCACAACCCTGCATGTGTTTTTCTGCTCCCAGGTGATCAATGTGGACGACGATGGGAACGAGCTGGGCTCAGGCGTGATGGAGCTGACCGAATCCGAGCTCGTCCTCCACACACATCGCCGTGACGACGTCAGGTGGCCCTACTTGTGCCTGCGGCGCTACGGCTATGACTCCAATCTGTTCTCCTTCGAGAGCGGCCGTCGCTGCCAGACTGGCCAAGGTACGCCTGACAGATGAACGAATCAGAACAAACCTACCTCAGGTGGTTTGTACTGTGCAGAGGAGTCTTATGGTTGTGTGTTCTGTAGAAAGTCTTGTATCTGTTTTACTTGACATAAAGATGATTCCAAATGTTTAGGGGTCTCTTCAGACGCAGGAAGTCTAAAGAAGCCACAGAGGCCCTCCAGTCGAGTTAGGAAAGGTTCTTATTGTCTCAAGGAGCTACACAAATATTTCAGTGTGACAAACAATGCCCCCTGCTGCCCAATCACAGCAATTACAGATGACCCAACCAAGGACTTTTGATTTTCAACTCTGTCTCATAAGCTTAAATATCTAGACGCTCTTCACGTTTGATTCTGAGTGTTTATATGAATTGTTAATCACTTCATTGTTTATCATGTTCCTTAAGCAAAGTCAAAAACTTGTGATGGCACCATTAGCATCACTAGCGATCAACGTTTCCAGACACTCCATGGGACAAAGTGTTGGAACTCCAGTAGCACAAAATAAACGATGTTCAGGAATCCAGTTAACGTGATATTGCTGCTGAAGCTCTTCATTTTGTGTTCCGGTGAACTCCTGAATTTTATTCTTACTATAATAATCCAACATGACTTCCCCAAATTTGAAATGTTTTTACAAAACACAGCCATATCCTATCAAATCCATTCTCCTTTTCAATCTTTATAAGCAAGGAAGTTGATGATGAGGAGCAGATAGCTCTGTCACAACAAGCTCCACCCTTTTGGTTACACTTTGAGCAGTTTCCTCAAACTGAAACATCTGATTATATAAAACCACTGTCTATTTCGTTCTCGCAGCATGTTTGGATGAATATTAATGGCGCAAATCTGATTAGATTACATTATGATGTGATTGCAAACTGGTTGACACACCCCAACAAATAAATCAGAGCAATTTGTACCTCCCGCTCTTAGAAAATGTTTTTTGTATCTCCACATCTTCCAAATTAGCTGGCAGCTGATTTTTGCCCACATTGGAGCTGTGGGAGGAGATGACGAGGAAACCTGGAAAAGAATGTTGAAGTGGAAATTGTGGAGGTTAAAGTTGCACTGTGTCTCTCCTCCTGCACGCTCTCAGGACCCTGGGCTGCTCAGGGTTAGGAGGAGGTCGGTAAGTCTCAGACCGGATGGGGGTGATCGGCTGATCAGTATTGATTATGCTGTGAATACACAGGGATCAATAATTGTGTTTGTGCGGTGTCCCCCACAGTCTCCTGTGTGTTTCACGTGTTTTCCTTCATCTTGTCTCTCAGGTGTAGAGACCAATTTCACATCATCTGTCAGTTGTTTTATTGTCATTCAGTTGTCATGGATCTTTAGGTTGTCCTCCTGTCTGACCACTCGGAGTGTTGGGCTAAGGGTTTTGATTCATATCAATGAAATATAAACTGGAGTTTAGATGGTGACAATAGAAAGATCAACAGAATCCGGTTCCCAGCTGCTTTCTAGGGACTTGAACAGGTTATGTTCAGTCTCATGTAGGAAGGCGGGTATGGATTACCATATGGATTCTTGTTATATGTTCCTATGAGCTCCAGTCAGCTGACGAATCATCTCAAAGCTCCTACTCTTCCTGCTCCTTGTCTCTTCCAATTAAACGCAGACGTGTGTGTTGTGATTTCTGTTTCTTCACCCTTTGTGGGGAAATCACCGTCTCATTTTCTCCAATCTTTCTGTGATTGTAGGTATATTTGCCTTCAAATGTTCTCGAGCTGAAGAGATCTTCAACATGCTGCAGGAGGTGATGCACAATCACAGCATCAGTGTGGTGGAAGAGGCAGTGCTGGATCCCAACCAGCAGGGGGCGCTCACTCCTGCAGGTGCGCACATACACCAAGTGTAATCTGACAAGTCCTGTAATTAGGAAATTACTATTTCTGCTTTTGCATGTCAGAGGTCATGTATAGTACTGTTCTTAAACGGGTGTTATTGTCTTTTGGCTGCAGCTCTGGGTTACTCTGTACCTACGGTGCCCAATGGGGTGAGTCGGCTGCCCTCAGTGGGAGAGACACCGTCTCACCCGTCCACCCGTCACCCATCTGTAGCCAGCACCCGGCTGCCGTCTGTAGGAGAGGAGTCCACACACCCGCTGCTTGTGGCTGAGGAGGCGGTAAGATGAGTGCCTGTTGACCTCACGATGACTTAACATTCACTTCAGACAGAACCTGAAGTTCACCTTTTGCTAGCGAGACATGGGCCTGTTATGGTGTCCAGCTAAGGCTGATGCTGGTGCTTTCTGAGTTGCAGGTGCACACCTATGTGAACACTACGGGGCTCCTGGAGGACCAACCGAGCCCACTCACTGTCGTCACACCCCTGGAGAGCCCCACCTCACCACAGTCTCAGTGTCCTCCAACCCCGCCGCCTCCTCCCAGGGCCGGTGTGGAGCCCGTGCCCCCCATTCCCCAGCCGGAACCCCAGGTTCTGCTGGAGCCTCAGGGGGTGCGCTTTGTGCTCGGTCCCACCCCTGTTCAGAAGCAGCAGATGGAGAAAAAGAGGCAACAGGAGCTGCAGGAGGCCGCCGAGCTCCGAGAGACTAATGGCCCCATCCCAACCCCTACCCTGGCCGAGCCGCCAACCCCGCACTCCAATGGGTCCTCCTCCAACCCCACCACGGCTACCCGTCGCCACCGCCCGCCTCCCCTAACCCCCGACTTGCAGAATGTCAACAACTCAGCCCAGCGGCGCACTGCTCTGTTGGACTATGAAAACCTTCCAGCACTGCCACCGGTTTGGGAAGCAAGGAAGCCAAGTGCCGAGGAGGAGGAGAGCGCTGACGGCGGTCTGAAAACACCGTCGCTCAATGGATACAACCACCACACCACCCACAGCCTGCTGCAGCACTCCTATTCCCACTCGCTGTCCGCTGTCCTCGAGCCCTCGCACAACTACGTCAACACAGAGAACGTGACTGCGCCACTCAGCGCGCACCGGCCCGACACGGCTCGCCGACGCACCGACGGTCCGACCATTTTTAACTTCGACTTCCGCCGGCCGCCGCTGCCGGGCCACATGGAGCCACCTAAAACTCTGAACTACATTGAGGTGGAAATGGACAGTGGCGGCGGACACAAGGGTACGTCGGACGGCAGCAACCCCCACACGCCTCGCACCCCCACCTCACCGCTGCCCCCGACCACGCCTACACGGCGTACCGAGATGTATGCTCTCATCGATATTGAGCGCACCGCCGCCATGTCCAGCCTGCAGAAAGCACGGCCGCGAGACGACGGCACGTCTCGCAAGACGAGACACAACAGCACGGAGCTTCCCACTAAGAGTGCCGCATGACTTTCTGTGGCAGGCACGGAGCCGTGCATGGACTCCAATCAGACAGGAGCTGTCCACCTGAGGAGGTGGACTGGTACTATAGCAGATGTAATACCTCTGATGATCATGATGTAACAGACTGCTTTCATTATATGGTACACGTCAGTATTACTGAACAAACATTCCAGTTATCCTTTTGTACGAGTCACTGTGCTGCTGTAAGATGACACATGTACAGTAGATCTGACAATAAATGTCTGCTTTTATTTGTACTCGCTTTCGAGCGCCTCGCCTCTTCTATCACCACTGAGGTTCTCACACACCAATCGAATTTATTTGTACAGCACAATTTAAAAAAAAAAAGCAGTTAAATTTTTTTTTACATCATAAAAATACAAAAATCAACAACTGAAACATGAAATTTTTTTAAGTGCAAAAGGTTGGTCAATTTTTCATTTATAATGTTTCAAAAGCAACTTTAAACAGATGGATTTTTAGTCTGGATCTAAAGAAACTCAGCATTTCAGCTGTTTCACAATTTTCTGGAAGTTTGTTCCCAATTTGTGGTGTATAGAAACTGAATGCTCCTTCTCCGTATTTGGTCCTGTTTCTGGTGACCAGACCAGAGCCAGAAGACCAGCATCATTTTAACACAGCACATTCCCACATCTTTCATCCTCTGACCTGACATCACCATCACATATCTTCACACTGCAGCATTATCACAGCAATGTGTTATGCAGGATGCCGGCCCTCGAGGACCCATTTTGGGTCCCCCTGCTTTATAGCCATAAAACAGAAACATGTTTTCTGATGGCTGGTTCAATACAAACACAAGGGTACATCAAATAAAATGTGAAGATTTCTGAATTAAAGGCTCCCATTCCATCCATTTTCCACAGGTAAGTCTGTAAATGTAACCATCAAAAGCCAAATCAAAATGCACATTTCACTTGACCCAGAAGAAGAGCTGCTGAGTAAAAAGAAAACAAAAATTTGGCAAACCGCTTCAGAGCCAAAAGGGCCGACTCTTTTCGGTGATCTGAGCCAGAAGAGTCAGAATTCCCAGGCCGTCAGTCCCACTGTAACCTGACTGATTGTAGTATATCTCCTCCACACAGACACCAAACCTTCAGGAATGAAAATGGAAACTGATCATAAAGTTTTCGATTCCCAGAAGAAACATTGGCTAAAACAAAAACAAATACGTGAAGTCATACTCTTTTCCAGGCGTGTCAAACTCATTTTCGTTTTGGGCCAAATCAAGATCATTAAGGCTCTTAAAGGGCCGGTTGTGCCAGAATGTCTTGATAAAACCTGTTCACAGACTGTTAATATGTCAATGAATTCTTAAAATTACATAATATTATTGAAGATCTTTTTTGTCCCTTCAGGAACTAATAATAAATGCGACTGTTTATTTACTCGTTGCATAAATCAAGGACTATAATCATACATCAACTAAATTCTCAAGAAACTGGAGGGATTGATTGATATAAATTGGAAGTAAACAGATAAAAACTGCATTGATATGATTGATAATATAATATTTAATCAGACTCAGTGTTTAGTCTAGTCTGTGGAGGGCAAAACAAATGTAATTAAAGAAATTACATTTTTGCAGCAACTTTAAAAAAACTGAAATATTTTGTCGTAATATACTTATAATTATGAGTATAAACGTAATGATAATTACATTTTTAATTTTTATTTTGTAATAAAAATGCATCCAATTAGATTTTAATGGAAATTGACCCTTTCCCCCAATAAAAATAATGAATATTTATTATTATTATTATTATTATTATTATTATTATTATTAGTAGTAGTAGTAGTAGTAGTAGTAGTAGTAGTAGTAGTAGTAGTAATTTTATGTTTTTTTTTTCTTATTTAAACAGTTTCACACCCACTCATTAAAATAGCTGAAAGAATATATTTTTAATACAGGAAACCTATTTTAATTTATATAGTCAAACTTCTGCACTTTGTGCCTGAGAAGATTTTTTAAAACCATATTTCATTGTTCCTGCACCAGTGACAATAATAATTCATTTTGAAACCATCAGAATAATGTGTTTATGTAAAAATAACTCCGTTTTCCATAAGGTTTGCGTGTCTGTGACGTAACGTTTCCGCAACACAGCTTAGCCAATGAGGAGGAGGGGCGTTCCCTTTTCTGGTGTCTGTGAACTGAAGCTTTTTGAAAGAGCGGCGCGCGCAGCCGTGGCCTGGCACTCAACCAGGAAGAGAAGATGGCGGCTGTTTTGGAGCGCAGTCTCGTGGAGATCTGCGGGTTCGGGCGGGAAGCGGAACGCCGGTTCCGAGAGGTCACAGTGAGTCCAGGTGAGAGTCAGGTTCTGACGGATGCAGGTGGAACGGAGTTCTGGTTCTAAATGTGCTGTAAAAGCAGTAGGACCGGCAGGTTGAAGCTAACAGCAGCTAGCAGTGCTGCTTGTGCTCATGGTCCTCACTGGTTTTAGCCGAGCGGTAATGGGCACCGGACAGCTGGGTTTAAGCAGCTCAGGCACCAGTTAATAAGCCTCGTGAATAAGTGAAGAATGAGGAATTAATTAGTTATTGACTCGTGCTGGCATTAACGCACAGACCAGTCTCCTTAAATAGTTCAGACCGTCAAATCTACTTACTGCTTTTTCCCGTTCCGATCAAACGTCTGGATCCAACCAGGACCATTCTTAGACCCACTTTGTGGGAGAGGTGATTAGAAAGTAGGCCAAAAGCGACATCCCTTTGGCGGAAGACGATACTATTACACTGAACAATCCTGGACTGCATCATTGTCACATGCCCAAACAAATACCACATGGCCAACCCCATCCAGAAACCCTGAAGGGCAACAACATGGAAATAAACATCTGCTGGACCAATTCCGATATGTTAAGAGTTTACTGACACCGGGTGTTGTTATACTGATATATTGTGAATCCATATAATTGGATCAAAGTCTCCCTTGACCCCGAAGACATAAAAATGTAAAGGTAGTTGTTGATGCAAATGGTGGCACAACCAACCATTAAGTTTGTTTGACAATTATTTTTCCAGGACCCGATTTTTTAAGATGGCTTTTGCCTTGATTAAAGAAATGAACATGTGAAAACACCTTTTTGTATTCACTCTGTTTGATGTTAGAGAAAATCAGAAGAAATGTGTATAAGTAGTCTTTTAGCACCATGATAAATGGAGATTAATGCAAAGATTAAAAACTAATTTCCAACAAGAAATGCTTAAGAAGCAAAATAATGTGATACTGATGCAATGAAAGAAAGCTGACATCTGGAGAATAAATTCCAGAAATATGGTTGATTTATGTAATTTTTAGAATTAAAGTGTAAACATACTTGAGTCATAAACACAAACATCCAGCTGTTAGTCCTGGTTCAGTGAAAGTTCTCCAGCTGAAGTTAAACTGGGATTGTTAGGAACCAAGCTCTGCAGTCTGTCCATTGATGAAAACAAAGATGGTATGTGGAGGGAACAAGCTGCACCCTGCTGAGATCCCACTCCTGATTGTCCAGTGTCCCATTTGTGTGGCTAACAGCTTACCACGCCTATCTGCAGGTGTAAGTGCTCCTCCCGGCGGGTTAAAGTTTGCAGACAGCACCGGAGCATTCCATTACAATGAGAGTGGCAAGCTGCTATCTGTCACCAGCAACCGCTTCATCCACTGGTGAGTGCGTGGCACATCATGGCTTTTCTAAAACGATGTCAGTTGGTGCTATGTTCAAGTTTTTTCTGGTGTTGCTTCAGGTGGACGTCCGGGGACACAGTGCAACTGGTGGAGGAGTCTCTGGACACCAACCTGCTGAATAATAGCGTCAGACTGAAGTTCACCTGCTGCAGCGTCCTGCCTGGTGGAGTCACCGTCCACGAGACCCTAAACAACATCATCATCCTAATCTGCACCAATCAGACTGTCCACAGGCTCGTTCTTCCTCATCCGGCGCGCATGTACCGCAGCGTGAGTTCCCATCAGGAATGTTTCCTGTTCCTCGATCTGAATGATCTGCTGAGCTTCTTCTGCAGCATTCCTGCCTGCAGCTTATTGGCAGATTCTTCTCGGTCTTCTTTTCTGCTCCAGATGAACTCTGCATTGCAAAACCAAAATCTTGCCAAGTCTTTTTGGTCTAGTTTCTTGTGCAAATATTGTAGTATTCTTGAAATAAGACAAGCACATTATAGGAGCTAGTTTTAAATCAATAACTCATTAATGTTGATGAAGTACTTGCTGTAATCTGCCAATGGAAGTTTCAATTAAACTTTAGATTTGGAAAAATGTCTTGCTCCAATAGCAGATTTAACTTACAAGTTATATATTTTTTAAATCAATATAGTTAAGTCATTTGTGTTAGAAACTAGACCAAAAATACTTTTTGGTGTAGTTTTTGTGTTTGTGTTTTTGCAGTGCGTTTCTTGCCGTGTGTTGTCGCTGATATAACACATTTCCGTGATGGACGTTGTTTTGTTCCAGGAGCTGGTTACAGAGCGCCACATGCAATCTGTCTTCACCGATGTGATGAAGTTTGACCTTCAAGACCCGGCCCACTGCGCCGTAATCCCCGGCTGGGCGGGGCACACGACGATTCCTGCCGCTGTGACGGCATGGCTCAGTTTTCCCGGAGACGCTCACTTTGCTCTGGCTTCGCTTGCAGGAGGCATCACAGTGGTGACGCTGCCACCTCACAATTCGCAGGGTGAGTCATGAGACCTCGCTGTGATTCTGTGTGCGAGGGCAGGCAGTCGAGCTGTGTCCGTGCTTGTGTCTGCAGGGAGTGTGTCGGTGGTGGAGCTGAAGAGGAGCTCCATGATGAGGAGGATCTCTGGTTGGATGCCCACCGCCATCCGGGGCGAGCAGAGTCCGGCTGACCTGGTTCTGAGTCTGGCGGTCCGGGAGGAGGAGGACGACTCGCTGATCTTCGCTCTGTGTCAGGATCACCGGCTGCGCATGTGGTCGCTCGCGGTGGGTCTGTTGTGAGGCTCTAAATGTAACTTAATCAGAACAGAACTAGGACAGAAATGATGAACTGTGATTGTTTAGGGCTGCAAGATATTTCTTGACTAAGAAATATCCAATGACGCTTCTTGAACTGAACGTGGTTCTGTCTCCCTCCCCAGGATCAGACGTGCCTCTTAGAGGCCGACATGTTGGAGTACATGCCGGCCTGTAAAGGCGTGAAGCGGCTGTCGGGTCAGGGTCACCGTCTGAGGCTCGCCTTCTCATCCAGAACCGGGCTGTGTCTGTGCGTGCACCTGGCCG